AATTTATACTATAAACTCTTTTAAACATGCATGTGATGTTCTGAAAGGACTAGGAAGCAAGTGTGGGAGAGAGAATCTTCATATAAACAATCGAAAGACACGACATAGATCTCGGGCAGCCCATTAAGAAGACACGATATTATAAAGCCTAAACCCTTATATGATTGCTTCTCTTATTATTACTCTGCTATTTCGTTTATTTTAGGTCATAAATGACTGGCGCAATTATTGCTATCACCTTTAATTTTTCTCCCTTTGTGGATCTCCATAACTTCAACAAAACCTAAAAACACGCATAGGTTTTGGGTTAGTGTGTATTAGTAAGTTGAGTAAAACGTTCATTCATATAGCCTGTTGGAAGGATTAGGGATCGATTATATTAATTTTTAAGAGATGAAAATCACTATTTTATATATTTAAATATAAAATTTTAACAAATTTAAAAATAAATTGATTGATTTTTCATTTTTAAGAAATTAACATGACCGACTCCAACTCTTTTTCATATCAATCTTGTATTTTAGTTTAGTAAGTGAGAATATTTTAATAAATGTAAATTATACTTCGTATGAAAAATAAGTGACTAGCTTTAATTATGAACTGTTAAGCTGAAAACACTTTTTCTGAATTTTTTAAAATAAGCATGTATTTATTAATACATTTTAATATTAATTATTTATATATGATTATATGGTTTAATTAGATCACAAATTATAAACAATAACATTTTAAGAATAATCATATTTTATAATATAATTAAAATCAAATTTTGTTTTTAAAAATATTATAAGTAACCCGCCCTACTAGTTTGCTATTGTTTTCAATATATAACCATTGTTAACAAATTCCCTCACTTATTAGTGATATTCTTATAGTAAAGTAATAAGTCCAAAAACGATTTATTTATTTGGTTTAGAATACGTCAAAACAATTTAATGCAACTTGCACGTATTTCTTTCTCATATTCATTATTTAAATATTAAATTAATTATGTAGAATTAAAAATAACATTTTCCTTTGTTTGTTCTTTGAACGGTCACATGTTACGTCATCTATGTGGTAGCGTGAAGCCGTGCACCCAGGGATGCATATTTGAATTCTTTTAAATACTTTATTACGAAATATTTACGTGTCTTTTGCGTTATAATACTATGGAACACAGTGTTAGATTTGGACTTATAATATTTAATAATTTTTTATAAAATGTAAATTTAATTAAAAAATTAAAAAATATTAATTAAATTTTATTAAATAACAAAGTTATTGATTATGTTTATAAAAAAATTATATAATTTTATAATTATAAAAAATATTTAATGATTAATTTATTAAATTTTATAAAAAATATTAAGTGACATAACTATCATTATTTAAAATAATTATAATTATTACCGAGTATCATCAAAATAAAATATTATATTTAATTAGAGAATAATATTAATAAAGCACATGGTATTGTACATAAATTTTATCATATTTTAAAATATATTTGTACTCAAATCAAAATAAATAAACTTTCTCAAATAATCAAGATAAAGACACCTCTTTAACCATTAGACTAATATATTTTTCAATCTCATGTGTATATGTGTGTCTATATATATATAATTTTTTGCCTTTAATGATAAAGAAGAAATTAATTTTAATTTAATATATATTTTTTACATAATTATTTAATTAAAATAAATGTAGTAGGCTTTAGTCATATTTTAATATATTATTAAAAAAGTATGAATTTTAATATAGTTTATCATTATATTTAATTTTTTTATGATACAATAATACATGGTTAAAAGTGAAAATACATCAACTCAGGTTAGATTTTTTTTTCTTAAATAAAATTACTTTATTTCTCAAAACTAAAACTCTAAGATTAAGGTCCGTTGGGGGTAGTTTTTAATTTAAAAAATTAAAATTAGTTTTTAACCATACGATTTTGTTTTAATTTTTTTAAAAAATTAATATTTAAATTTAAAATTACTCATAGTATATTTAAATTTATTTATTAAAAAAATAATAGTATAACAACAACAATAATAAAATGACTTAAAATATAATAATAATAATAAGAAAAACAAAATAACAATGACATTAATCTTTAAGAGTGATCATTCAATTTATTTATTTACTAACTATTCAATAAATTTGTATATAAATCAGCCTACTCATCCAATTGTAAAAATAAAGGGTTGAACCGTTGAATATATAAAAGAAAAATATCTATAATATTTTATATTTTATTAGATTAAAAATAGTTTAAAGTTTAATTTGTGTGAATTAAATTAATAATTTTTTAACATGTATTATTAATTTTCTTTGAAGATGTAATGGATTAAAATACTTTTTGTACTTTAATTTTATTTTTAATAATACATTGATGTTTAAAAAAAATAGTTCAAAATTTATTAGTTGACATAGATATTTAAAAGATGATATATAAATTGAAACTGTATAGATATATTTTTTAAGTACTAACATTTTTAAAAATATTTATTTAAATAAAGTACAATATATTTGAAATGGATGGATTTAATTTTATTCATAAAAATTATATTTAATAGATAAGTTGGATGAGTTTTTAAGAAATCATCAATAGGTTAATGATTTTATTTTATTTTACCTATTGATTATAATTTAATTTAAAATTCATCAAATTTATCCATTGGCCGAAGAGCAGTGACGAGTTAAAATAACATGCCAGTCTTTTAAAAAATAATTAAACTAAATGAATTATTTTTACAATTTAAAAATTAAAATAATATTTATTTTAAAATTGAGTTAAATTTATTTTAAAACATATTTAAAAATTAATTTAACTCTATTTTAATTAAATAAATATTTTTAAAAAGTTTACATTTAAAGGTAAAAAGTTAAAATGTGACTATCACTCTAAATATGTTTTAAATAACATATTACTCAAATTGAATATAAGCGGTTTTTTTTACTTAAATTAGTGTAAATTTTTATATATATATATATATATATATATAATTTTTTTTCTACTTAACCCTTTTAAAATATTTTATTTAAAAAGTTATTTAAAGACTTACTTTTATAGGTTTCTGAAATAGATGAATAAACTCGTCTATGAGTAAGTCAATAACTTAAACTTTTTATATAAGTCAACAGGCCTCTTATATAAGCTAATAAATATATAGTATTAAGATATGATCATAAAATTTAAATAAAATAATAACACAAAATAATATTATGATGTTATTTATATTTATTTAAACGAGTTAACGAATAATCTTATAAACTTATTTAGATTATCGAAAACATGTCATTTAAGTTAAATATTTTTTAGATTAATCTAACTCGTTCGTACCTATAATAAATCTGTTCATGAAAAACTACGTGTTAACTTCTTTTGCTTTGGTTTCCCACCCACTAATGGCCGTTTTGTGATCACTAGAAAAGAAAAATATAAATAAAGATTTAAATTATTCTTTTAGACTACCTTCTCAAGTTTGGTAAACAAATATAAATAAAAACTGAAGAATTTGTGGTTGAACTGAACTGTAATCTGGTCATTTTCTTAACGCATCTTACCTATTTTAAATTTGGAAAGTGACATGCAGATGCTAAATTGGACCATGATTTGTTGGCTTTGAATGTTTTTATCATGTTGAATAATGTGACATGGTCAAAGTTGAGATATAAAAATATTTTTTTATTAAATTCAATTAATGAACCTTATACTAAATTTTATTTGATAAAGATATTATTTAATATTTTAAAATTAAAAAAAATCTTAAATACTTTTCCTGTGATTTTTAATGTGTTTTAACATGCTTTTCTTAATAAAATAATTATTTTGAATTTCGTAATCGATACCCTTAGCAACCGTTTTCCTCTCAAATTTAATTATATTCTGTTATTAACCATTTAAGACAAATCGGATTAAATTTTCTTGTCTTGGTGTTTGTTTTATAATTGGAATTTTTTTTTTCACATTTGTCAATAAAAGTACATGTCTTAAAAATATATATAATTTAAATTAATTTATACCCACATTTAACGATATTAGATGATTCAAAATTAATTATACTCAACTTTAAATTAAATTTAATATACCCTTTAATTGCATCAGAATTCAACGGATAACTTTTGGTGAAGATTTCAAGAACCCAACTTTCAGTTTCACAAAAAGAATAAATATAATTGAATTTATGAACAGAGTTGGAGCTAAAATGCTAATAGGAAGGTCAGAAACACAATAAATGGGATTTGGCTTTCACCATAACACAACTTCTTGTGTTGTGCTGCACTAAGGGATCGTGACTTGCAAGCACTAACGTTACTTTCGGGTTCCAAATAGAAAGAATAAAACAAATCGGAGCCAAAAAGTACTTGTGCACAACGGTAATATTCTCATCAAAATTGGAGTTAAATTAAACTTTATATACAATATTTTTATACTAAGATAGTAACCATATATGGCAATATTGTGTCGTGTGTTATATTTTAATAGAGTTGGATAAGAATTCGTGCAATCGCATAACAAAAGCTCTTCAAATATACTATATTATTTCTTTAAACGTTAAACAAGGCATCAAGAGAGAGAAACAAACCATTTCTTTTACATGCCTTGGAAATTGTCACATGCTCCACCTACCTGGCAAAATAATTTTTGGCAATAAAATATAATCAATCATCAATACCATTCAAATAAATTACCGGAAAATCCAAAGTTAATAAATCAAAATAATATCGAACATATTTACACACTCACTAATTTCTGAGTCTTTTCAATTTATATCATTTGATATTTTCCTTTCTACTATGCTCTACCATAAGGGAGTGTTAGAATAGTGTGAGATCATAGATAATCTTTCACAATTGTTTACACAAACACAAGGAATGTGAGGTAATATACAATACGCGAAAGAGTCATTCTAATAATCTCTAAAGTCAACTTTCCACTAATCAATCTCAAACCTTAGCTCATATAAGAGAAAGCAGTATCACAAAACACACAACCAAGCAATCATTCCTCTCTTCTCCTCTAAAACAATGTCGTCTTCTTCTTTTCTCTTCCCTCTTACTCAATCCACAGTTCTTCCAGACCCTTCAAACTTCTTCTCCCAAAACCTTCTCTCATCTCCACTTCCCACAAACTCTTTCTTCCAAAACTTTGTTCTCCAAAATGGGTCCCAACCAGAGTACATTCACCCTTACATCATCAAAACCTCGAACTCCTCTCTCTCTGCTTCCTACCCTTTTCTCTTGTTTTCCGCAGCAGTTTTGTACCAAGTTTTTGTGCCAGATCTCACCATCTCTGCCACCCAAAAGACTCAAACATATTCACATCAACAAAACCATGTAATATCATCCTACAGTGACCTTGGTGTCACTTTGGACATTCCCTCTTCCAACCTCAAATTCTTCCTTGTCAGAGGAAGCCCTTATCTAACTACTTCTGTCACAAAGCCAACACCTCTTTCCATCACAACAGTGCATAACATAGTTTCTCTGTCTTCCTATGATGACAACACTAAGCACACCCTTCAGCTTAACAACACTCAGACATGGCTCATATACACCTCTTCCCCTATCTATTTCAACCACGGTTCTTCTGAGGTTACATCCAAGCCGTTTTCTGGCATAATTCGCATAGCAGTGTTGCCTGATTCCAAGTATGAGGAAATTCTTGACAAGTTTAGTTCTTGTTACCCTGTATCTGGTGATGCAGCACTCAAGAAACCTTTCCGTGTGGTGTATAAATGGCAAAAGAAAAGGTCTGGGGACTTGCTCATGCTAGCTCACCCTCTTCATGTTAAGCTTCTATCATACAATAATGATCGTGATGTAACTGTTCTGCATTATTTGAAGTATAGAAGCGTTGATGGTGATCTTGTTGGTGTTGTTGGAGATTCATGGGTGTTGGAAACGGATCATGTACCTGTAGCATGGCATTCGAACAAAGGCATCAAAGAGGACTCATATGATGAGATTGTCTCAGCACTTTCTAAAGATGTGAAGGAGCTGAATTCTTCTGCAATAACAACAAATTCATCTTATTTCTATGGGAAGCTTGTTGGAAGGGCTGCAAGGTTAGCATTGATAGCAGAAGAAGTGTCTTTTCCTAAAGTGATTCCCGAGATTAAAATGTTTCTGAAGGAGACTATTGAGCCTTGGTTGGATGGAACATTCAAAGGGAATGGTTTTTTATATGAAAGAAAATGGGGTGGACTAGTCACTGAACAAGGGTCAACGGATTCAACGGCTGATTTTGGGTTTGGAATTTATAATGATCATCATTTCCATTTGGGGTATTTCCTTTATGGAATTGCAGTACTTGCAAAGATTGACCCTGCTTGGGGACAAAAATATAAATCACAAGCTTATGCACTTGTGACAGATTTTATGAACTTGGGCCAAAGATATAACTCAGATTATCCACGTCTAAGGTGTTTTGACCTTTATAAGTTGCACTCTTGGGCTGCAGGGTTGACTGAATTTCCAGATGGAAGGAATCAAGAAAGTTCAAGTGAAGCTGTGAATGCTTACTATTCAGCAGCATTGATGGGTCTAGCATATGGTGACACCCATCTTATTGCCACTGGATCAACACTATTAGCATTGGAAATTAGTGCTGCGCAAATGTGGTGGCATGTAAAAGAGGGAGACAATTTGTATGAAGAAGATTTTGCAAAAGATAACAGGATAGTGGGTATTCTGTGGGCTAACAAGAGGGACAGTAAGCTTTGGTGGGCTCCAGCTGAGTGTAGAGAGTGTAGGCTTAGTATCCAAGTTCTACCCTTGTTGCCTATAACTGAGCCCTTGTTCTCCGATGCGGCTTATGTGAAGGAGCTTGTGGAGTGGACACTGCCTTCTCTGAAGAATAAAACAAATGTTGAAGGGTGGAAGGGGTTTACCTATGCCTTGCAAGGTATTTATGATAAAAAAACAGCATTGAAGAAGATAAGAATGTTGAAAGGTTTTGATGATGGGAACTCATTCAGTAATCTCTTATGGTGGATTCACAGCAGATGAGGAGTGGTGCAACTAAGTTGTTGGCAGGTTGTTCTTGTAATCAAATGTTTCAATTTGATCCTTGTCAACCTTTTTTTTATTTCCTTTAATTTATCAAGTTCTGCATCTCGTATCAGTTATTGTTAATGTGGTGATGTAAAATTAAGTCCAAATTTTTTAAGAATTTAATAAAATTTGCAGTTTACAAGATTTTTCTACTGCATTAGAAGTTCAGTTCCTGTAATTTTGAAGTGTTTCTAGTGCAAACAAAACGAGCTTTTGTTTATGTCTGGTGTCAAGTGATGTTACATTAGCCAAGTGAATCAAATCAATTCATGATTTTCAAGCTTGTTGCTACGAGAAAGGTATAAAACTACCCAAGCATAAGTGGTTTCATAACACTTGATGCTTTTAATGAGAAGTGAGTAGTTGCCAATATTGTTTTCGCAAGAATTTTCATTGATAATTTAATGGGCCAAAATGAATGATACGCCAACCTCACAGTAATATAAACAAGGAGAAATGTTTTGTATTATTATTAGTTGAATTATTTGAGATTCATTAAATTTTAATTACGAATCAATAAAACTTGACATTAATCTCATTTAACAGATGTCATATGAATTTTAACTAACAATGATGTCAAAAAAGTGTGTTAATGTATTATAGCAATTTTTATAACATATGAAAAAGGCTAGAAGATGCAATAGATAACCTGAAAAACAAATCCCAAGTCTAAATCCATGCAAGTTTCACCTTTCTGCACGAAAAGCAAAGGGTTGTAAAAATTTTATGTATCTAATAGAAGGTGGGCCTCGGAAGCACAAGTGTTCTAAGAGTTTCTTTTTGTGGTCAGGTGATCTATCTATTTACTACGTAGTATGATTAGGACCATTAGGTATGATGGACCTTTTCATTGAGGCGATCTTTGGAATCAGAGATGCCTGAAGATAACAAGAAATGTCAACCAAAATTGTGCCCCTAACACACAAAAAAAAGGGGCCTAAATCGATTTTACATTTTGTTTCAATAAAAGGATCTGAAACTATGATAATAATGATATACTAATTAAATTGACTGTATCCCCAAAAGCAACATCCGACTCCAACAATTGATAGCAAAATCTTAAAGTTTTATATAAAAAGAAACCCAAATTGAAGTAAACTTATTTATAACGAATTTAGCAGTTTTGTAGAGAAGTGTAACATATTAGGTAAATCAAAATTAGTGTCAGTGATTTTAATTGAGGAATTCGCTCCTAAAATATTACACCTAGATTGTTGCCATTTTTATATCAGAAAACAATATGTAGAAGCAACATAATTAGAAGAAAATAAGTCTATCTCTTCCTTATGCTCACATTCCAAAAATGTTGCATACATCACAATTTATTTATGCATGCCCCGTCAGAGACAAATTCTGCATGTCTTCCACTTCTTTTCCATCCACGTTACCCGCAACACTCCACAACGCACATTTTTGCATTCTGCTTGGCCTCGCACTATAAGACGCAAAATAATGATGAAATAGAGAGTCCGACCTAAGTCCCAACCATAGAACACCACCCATTCTATCTATTAATCAGAATTTACAATTAAACATTTTTGTATATAATCTTTTGAAACACAGTCATCGGAGTTTCATATAATAATTTTGGAAAAAATAGGTTGATCCCATGAATATATAGCATTAGATGTAAAATAAAAAAAGAAAAGATAATTAGTGTGCAACTATAATAAAATAAATAGATTCTTACCCGCTATCATTGTCATGTATAAAAGAAAATTATAAAAATAATTCACACAATTTTTAATAAAAATATTTAAAACTTTAGCTACAAAAATATGTAAACATCAGTTTAATCCTTTCATCAAAATATCATTGGCCCTCATGTTCTTCAGTCACTACCTCAAGAACAAGGGAAGAAATACCTGATTAACAAAGAAATCAAATGCTCCATAATGTATTATCTATATATAGTTTCAAAGACTAACATGAACATCTCATGAAGAGAGAGATAGAGATGAGTCTCGAGAGTGAACATAGGAATCGGCAGCATAAAAATTTCACCACTCTTCTTTCTCTTAGTCTAGCTTGACTTACGAAAAGCTTGGACTAACAACAATATGCTTCAATGGATTTGCTACATCACCACCACCAGCATGCTTGACAAACTCAGAAGGGCTAAGAAAACTACCATGACAAACACAAACAATCCGCACTTCCTCACCTTTCCCATATCGATAAAGAAAACCTTCTATCCTTTTTCCATTAGGGCCTTCTCCCTTGGTGGATACGCAAGGCATGTCTTCCAACAAGTTCTTCACAATGTCTTTAGTTCTGTTTTCAGGTGATGAGTGTTTGTTCGGCTGATTCCCAGCATCACTCTTGTTTGAGTTCTCTGCAACTCTAGCTCCTAAGGGGACTGAAGATTTCAGTTCACTGTCCAGCAGCAAGTTGGCACCAACAGGGCTTCTGGCCTCCACTGGAGTTGTTCCTGTAATGGATAATGAAATAATTTTAATAACAAATGTCATTCATATCATAAGACGTGTTAATCCCCTTCTTTTACCAGTGATAAAAGCTTACACATAATTATTTAATAGAATAGATTAATCAACTTGTTAAAGCATGGTTATTGGGTAACAAAATATTTGATAAACATTAATACATTGTGATTTTTACACAGGCTCGATGACATTTGAGCAACAGCTGTGCATTAGAATAGAGAGACACTAACACCAGTCAATAGACTTTGTAATGGAAAAAATAATACCTTTAAACCATGTGGCAATTTTGATGCAAGTTTGTTTTGCATGAACAAGACAGACGGAGTTGAAGAGAATTAAACTAACAGATATAAATGGTCAACACGAGTCATATGAGACATACCAGTTATGAGACATTCGATTTGATGTTTCCAGTTGAAGAATATAAAAGAGTTTGGAAGAGTTATATCAAGGAACAAAATGGAATTAAAGAGAATTAAATCATCGTCTACAGAAGTTACACTTAACATTTCCAACATAACAGAATTAAAAATCATCAGACACAAATTATAAACATGAGGTATGAAACACATTTGACATTTCTTGTTCAAGGAAAACGGAGTTAAAGAGAATTAAGTCGGACGACATAGCTTATCAACACGCATACATCCAAGGAACAAAATGGAAATATATTATCAACACATGTTATGAACAAAACCAACATAAATTATCTGAACATATTATGACAAACTTTAATGTTTCTGTCCAAGTAAAAATGCGGACATAAATTATGGTCCAAGTAACAAAACAGAAATCAATTATCAACCCTCGTTATGAACCATTCAAGGAAAACGGAATTAAAGAGAATTGAATCAACGGACATAACAACATGTGTTACAGGATCCGATACGGTTGATGGATTTGAATTTTTTTTATTATCACAGAATCTATTTTGATGGCCCATAACATTAAACCAATCAGAACCCTCAACACCTTATCAACATAGTTAATAAGAATCTACCATACATATGCACACACCACATCAGTGAAGTGCTATAGACTAGCCACTAGGGATCAGGCTTTAATTTTAGATTGTGCCATTTTTCCACACACAGTAGGGATATAATATGAATTACCTAACTTATTAAGCGCCACAACCTCTCAGAGGTGTCTAGTCTTCAAGAGATTTTTAGGGTCAACATTTCTTCAAGGCAGGAAAATCATGCTAAGAATTAGCAAATGACTCTACATACCAGAGACCCAGAATGTGAACAGTATCAATCCGAGATTAATACTTCAAACTAAATGGCAACTTTTAGGTTAAACAATAGTGCTAGGAGATTAGGAGAATTGTTGGGTTGTCACAAAAATCATTTAGTAATTGCCAAATTGAACCGAGACAAGGTTTTGATCAAAATTTTGAAGAGGCGCAGACATGATCTGACATGACAAGGCAGGATCCACCCTGACAGTGAATACCACGGTCGGTGGTGACTTGCAACCATGTGACAGATAGAATAAAATCCAAAAACCCATCTTGGTCGATTTATGCATCAAGTTAAAATCTAAATTTTTAAAAAAAAAGAAAAAAAGTAACAATTGCACGCTGGTTAGAATTGAAAAATAATAGAGAGAAAGAGGTAAAAAAACTTCCACTTTCTGGCTTGATTGATGACTAATATCCTAAAAAGTTCAGCATAAAACATGAAGTGAAAAAAAACGAGAATAATTCAAGAAATAAAGTAAATGCAAATCAACCCATCAATAAATAAATAAATAAATAATGAACAGAAATTAATGACCTTGACCTTGTTGACTCTCAGGTTCTGAGATCCCCGAAGAACCAACGGAACCCTGTGAAGGTGGCGATGGAGTTGCTAACGCCACCCCACTACCCTTCTCCTTTTCCTTGTCACCATTCAAACCAAGTCCAGAAACGCGAGTGGTCAACGACACGGTTCGCCCCAAGCTAGTTGCAACCTCATTGAACCCTCCAGCACCTTGCTCAACCGGATTACTCCCTTCTGCAGCAAAAGCACGTTCCCTCATAGCCTTCAAGTTCCTCTGCTTCTCAGAACGCTTTCTCCTGGCTTCCATTCTCCTCAGCGTCTGCAACTCCTTCCTCTTCCTCCACTCTTCCTCTGTCTCGGTTGGCAGAGAACAAGTCCTCATCAAAGGGTTGATAGCGATACCCACCGCAACCCCATACCCCACTTCCTCATCCCTCGCGTTCTTCACAAACTCAGGAATCGATGAAGTTCTTTTTATCTTCTTCGCTGTTGGGTCCACCCCAAATCGACCATTCATTGAAAGCCCAAGACTTAACTCTATTTCCTCCTCGTCTTGCTTCGCCACTGGCAAAGGCAAGTTGTGATGCTGATTGTTCACCGCCATGAATCTCTTCAACAGATCTCGCGGTAAATTGCTGGTTGTTGTTGGTGATGAAGAAATGTGACGATGCTGCTGATGATGGTGATGGTGGCCCTTCTCGATGTCTTCAACAGTTGCCATTGGAAGAAACTAATAGACAAAACCCAGATGGAGAAGCCTAAAGAAAACGTGAAATTCAAGCAGGGAAGTTGTGAGTAACCGAAGATGCTTCATGATGACATCGAAGAGAACACAGTTTAATGCTTTCCATGTAAAACCGACCAGTTCATAAGTTATTTTTTTAATCTTAGGCTGGGGAATGAGAATCTACATTTTCTTCTAAGAGTTTCCCTGTACGCGGAGGGAGGGAGAGAGAGAGAAAAAAAAGAAAGAAAATTTAAGATAATAATAAAAAGAGAGAAAAGGTGTGAAGAAGATGAAAACAAAAACGGCTGAAGGAAGTGAAGAGTGATGACTCGGGAGAAGAAAATGGCCAAAGGGGATGTGAAATTCCAAGAACAACCCCGGGGGATAAGGAGGCAACACGTGGAGGAAGGAGCAGAGTTGCAAGGTACACCTGGCGCCATGAGAGGATATTGAGGTGGCGTCTCTGTTTTGTGTTTGTCTTTAGGAAAGGGTGGTTTTCCTTTAGAAGGAAATATTGTTGCGAAGTTCAACGCACACGTGTCAGGCGACTGGTAGTGATTGAAACGAAGCTCCACGTGATGGAATTACAACGTGACACATATTTGCTCCAAAACAAACAAGATAACATTCAGATTCAAGACCCCAGGTCACACCCTTTCTCCTCTTTCCCTTTTAATATCACATTTTTTATCTACTCATCACTCATCTCAATCATCATAAATATCACTCTTTCTCTTTTTCAAGATATTGTCACTTTTTATTTCACAAAATTATTTTTTTCTTTTTCAAATTATCTACTTTTGGCTTTTACCTCAAATTCAAATCACCTCATTTAATATTTTTATTAATTTATTAAATTTAATAAAATATAAGTGCATGTAATAAATTTATATTTTATCTCAGCCTTATTAATAAGATTAAATAATTCAATTAATAACTTGTATATTCAATAAATGATACATTTACTTCTGTAGATAAGAAGTAAAGGAAGAATAACATTAACATAAATATTATATTAAATAAATGTTTAAAAATTGAGTAATTAATATATTCATTTATGAGTTTTTTACTTTTTATAATTTAAATTTTTAAAATATATTGATACTTATCTTTTGAAACAACTCCAAAGGAGTATTTATTAATCATATTTATTTCTATTATATAATTGCATTTATTTTAATTGAAGGAGTTACGAAAGAATAAAGAGATGAAAAGTAAATAATATAATTTCAATATATTTTCTCTCTCTCCATTTAAAGTGGATGAAATGAAGGACAGGTCACAGGAAGAAAAATCGAGGACCGGCCCACATTAATTTAGTTCTTGCCAAATTGAAGAGAAAGCGTGTGAGAAGGAGACTGTTGTATGAATATGATCATAATATTCTTTTTTTAAACTGTACTTTTTTTTATTAAAGTTTAAATTTCATTCAATAGAATTAATTATATATTTTTCAGTCAAATGAATAAATATAAGATGCTTAATTTTATTTTTTAATAATATACATTTAAAATTTATTATTTATTATTTTTTCCATTTCATTTTATTTCTTTCTATATTTTCTTACTTCTAAACAAAGTATTAGGTGGTTCCTTTTATAATATAAATAATATTTTTTATTGTCCTCTTTATATATACATAATATGTCTCTTCGTCATTAGTTGTTATTTTTTATATATTAAAAATTTAAAGCTTATTAAGTTTTCATCTTTTCAATCTTTATTTTAGTTTTTTATAGATTTTATAATAATAATTTTATAAAATTTCAGTCATTTACAATTTTATATAATTTTAAAATAATTTATTTTATTAAAATTTAAATTTAAAGTTATTTATTAAAATGAAATAATTCTTGTAAATTATTGATCATATAGTTAGTAGTATATTTTTGCATAACTTATTTAATTAATATATTTTTATTTTTATTTCAAAATTGTAAATTTAAAAATATTTATATCATATAAAAATATGTATACTATCAACATAATTTTTTAATTTAAAATTATTTTATTTTTGATACAGTATCAATATAATTTTGTTATACTAACCATTAATTAAGAATTATTATAAAATTTTTAAAATATAAAATAATAATTCTTATTAACAAAATATTTATAATTAAATAATAACATAATTTTGTATCATTGGTCTTTAAAATTACATTTTATTATTTATTTATTCGGGGTAATGATTGCATAAGCATAAAGTGAAAAGTCCCTCCTGCCATTGATTAAACTAAAAAAATAAGAATTTTGAGTTTAATGATGGAGGGAACGTTGTCGTATGCAACGCTTAATGAGTTGAATGCTGAATGGCCGCACTATGTAATTCCCAAATTGCACATTTGGATGGGTTAACTTCCTTTGCAAATGCTTTGAATAATTGTGTCCACTCTTTCAAGTTAGAGGCTGCCATTGGTGACAAGGTACAATGTTTTTTAGGGAACTAAAATGTTTATAACATAAAGAAAAACAGCAAGGACAAACAACAGATTTAATTGGTCATATAATATCATAAAAAATAATTATTTATTGTAACTTTTAAGAATAGTTGAGTCATGAACCATTTTTAATTGTGTTTCTTTTTTATTTTGCATAAATAAAAATAAAAATATATTATTTTTATTTTGTATAAATACAGACTTAAAATATTAAACCTCATTGATTATAAAATTTTAATTATTTTTTCAATAATTTATCACCTGTATTTTTTATATACAATAAATAAATGGGAGAAAAAGTATGTTATTAATAAGGTTAAACATGTCCAAGTTTGCACAGAATATATATATATATATATATATATATATATATATATAATCTTTAATTTTTAATTATAAAATTAAATTTTATTTTGACTACAATTCTTTTCATACGTTTTTCTCTCTTTAATTATATTATACACTATTCAATTATAATACATATAAAAATAAGTATTAATATAATATTATAATACTAAACATAAAATAATAAATTTTTATATCATATTGAATGTTTTAGCTATAATATAAAATATTTATTCAATTATAATACGTTTTTCTTGGTCTAGTTGCTAAAAATTGAATTGATCATTAATTTGATGTGCATGGAAAAAGAGAGAAATTAAAGAAGTTATAATTAACACTTTGGTATATATTCAGCAATTTATCTATTTTATTTTCCATCATTGTCCCAATCCCCCAAGTGTATATCATTCAGTTGAAGGTTCCATTTCATTGAATTATATTCAAGTGATTGTTTTCAGGAATTTATAGTACCATCGAAACATCGTTCAAAGCCAATGACAAATATACCAGCGAGTGGTCCATTTTAGGGGTTGTGTGTTGACTTAGGGAAAGTTGTCTTCTATTTTTAATTTATGTCCTAAATAAAAAGTAAATAAAAAATAATAAAAAAGATATAAACCGTACAGAGTTAGCAAGTGGGAAGAGGAGAACCCGAGAAGTGATAATGATATATATAAAGAAAAAAGAATGGTAGCAAGTTGGGTGACAGAAAATAAGGAAAGATGGTTGATTGAGATCGAACGGCGGAGAATGGATGGGGGGAGACAAGGAGATCGGAGGAGAAGATCCGGTGGTGGGGCCCACAGTAGATGGCAAGTTGCACTTTTTCTGCTGTGGCGGGTGACTGCCACGCGTCCCTCCACAGTTGATGAGAGTACCAAGTTGCCACGCGCTGACGTGTCTAACGTGAGTGTGGTGAAAAGCGTACGTTCTGTGTCAGAGTGACGTGACGGGTATCGCTAGCCCCTCCAACTAGCCTACCTCTTGTTTCGTTCACACGTGTCTCTCTCTCCTTCTACCCTTTTCTTTTTTCAGTTACAATTACTAAATTACCTTTTCTTTCTTTCTCCCACTTTTATTTTCCACATCTCACAATTTATAAACCCATTTTTGTTTTTTTAAATATTTTCTTTTTTCTTTGAAAGTATATTCAAGTTTTAAAGGCTCTGAACCGTTTCATGTGTTTGCACACAATTTGTTTTAAGAGAAATTGGTATTTAAAATTCGGAGTACCAATGCGTTATCTTGTAAGTTGTGCACTGTATCGTCTGTTAATTAATTAATTCCTCACAAAATGCATGTTACTAAATTTGTGTCATGTGGTTGACGAAAGTCCTAATCAAACGTATTCAAATTCGACACCTGTTGGATGGGTTGATCCACCTTCTTTCTTCAAATAATAACAATTTTTGTTATGTTCATGACATATGCGGACATAAAAAATTATATATTCATACCATATGCAACTTGTTACGTGCGTTCGGTCAATTCCATTAATCTGTCAACATTCATGCATATATTGAAAAAGCAAAACAGCATTCTGTATTTTACTATGAGTATGTGACTGGGGAGATACGAAGGAGGCACAAGAGATTGAAACCCCAACTTGCTAATTTTGCGCATTTTTATTTAATTTTCTAGTCAACTGGATTGGAGATAAGCAAAGTGCAAATAGTGATCACACATTATCTTCAATGTTGCAAATATAATACTAAACAGTTTCTTCCACTTAATTATGCCCCCAATTTCCATTTAATTCATCCTGAAGCGCCACCCAAAATGAAACAGCAAACATAAAAAAGTAGCAGTTAACCCATGTCGTTTCTAAATTACAGGTAAATATAAAACAAAAATGGGACTAATAATGACCCTTTTAAAATTAGAATCTCAGTTTGGATATAGAAATGTGGCATCATAGGGAAAAAGAACTGATGGTTAATCTAATGTCAATTCAAGTCATAGCATCTGTTTTGATTTTTAAATAAGTATACCTATTCCTGATCACTAATAAAATCACTACAATCATAGCAATAATAACTAGAAATACTACAACCTTTGAAATGCAGTGAAAGTAACATGAGAAACTCTGGAAGGTTGAAAGGGTGGCAAGAAAATTCTGCAGACTTCCATGATTGCAACCAACCAAAAAAAATGGGGTCTCACAGCAACCTCCCAAAAACCATCCAGTATTTCAGTTGGAAACATTTTGTTTCTGGGCACTTGACCGGCCACCCCTCCCTCTACCTTGGTGATAACCTTCTCCATGACCGCCCGGACCACGACCTCTACCAGAAAAGTCGCCACGGTTTCCATAATCATTTCGACCATAGCCACGACCACCACCATAATTACCACGACCCCTGAAAGAGTCATTTCGAAATCCACTCCTTCCGGATGGGATCCTAGCTCTTCCAGTACTGCCACTGCCAACTGAAAGAGAACAACAAGAATTGTCAACTATAATGGGGCTTTTTTTACATACAAGCAGCTGATTCTTTTGTTTTGTTATGTTGAATGAATGACATGAATTTTATTTGTGACAGTTCGCTACAAATTACCTCGGGTAGTGGTTCTCTTTATCTCAACTACAGCTTGACGCCCCCCAACAGTAATAGGAGAAGCCTGACAAAGTAAACTGTCTTAAATAATGAACAAAGATCTTAGGATTTTTTAACGCCAAGTTAGAAGTAACAAATGAGAAAGTTGATGGAAGTTTTATCAAACACATCAATCTCAGACAGAATATAGAATTATCTATATGATGATGTGACAATACAAATTACAACAACCAGTCAAACTGCTCTCTACCGGGCTGGAAAATCATTCTGCATTTCGTTTCATAGACCTTTGGACCTACAATATAACTCTTTCCCTTCAGCGACAATGAAGGGGAGAATGGGAAAATAAAAATTTTGCATGTATGAGACAAGTAGGGCAGGCCAATAATATCATGACATAACAGAAAAAGTTAATAACACCAGAGAAAATGAATTATTCTAGCAGCTAGCACCATGAATATTAGAAACCCCTTGGGGAGCATGTTCTGACAAAGGTTGCCATGTTCTGTAATGCATTAAAGGTTTTGTGCTTTGGGGAGCATGCTACTTGCCTAAGTGATTTGGCATGATAGGTTAGTGTTCTTTGTCATAGACTGTAGGCTTACTACATGTAACAACCTAAGACTTAGCAAAGTTTAGCTTAAAGGAGAGTTAGAGAATATTTAAGATATATTTAGTTTCTCTTAGAATAACTTACTTGATGCCATTCCCTTATTTTAATAGGTTCTAGTCTTACTGTTAGTGGGCTTTGGCTTGCACTATTTGCATTTTTAGTACTTAAAATATGACTAAGAGTATAAGGTTAAGGTGTTGAACAACACATACATTCAATCAATAGTATGTTCAGCATTACCGTTTCCTGTCTTCCTCTTTTACTTCTTCCTTAACCTATAACTCTTGAAGTGACTTCTGCATCATACCTAGGAAAACTAGGGTCAAATTACAGAGCTGTAAAGTTATAATCAAGCTTCTGCTGCCCCCTCTTTGATGTAGGTCAGCATTCAGCAAGGCCAACTGGGTTGTCAGTCTACTTAGGATATTGTTGTATGATGTAATACACTGAAGTGCGCTCATTAAGTGAAGGAAAAACGGAAGATAAAATGAATACTAAAGCGAGTAAAACATAAACAACTCAACAATACAACAAGGTGCAAAGGCAAATACAATGAATTCAGCTTAAAATTGGTTGAACTTCAATTTGGAGAACCCCACTCCAGAATAACAGTATAGAAGACAAATTCAATTTGTACTGATGTATAACTTCAACATACAGCACCATCCTCATACAGCTTAGGAATTAAATTTGAACTTTATGGACTCCAAGAATTTTTTTCAGCACATGAAGATGAAAAAAACACGAGAATATAAACAAAGATATAAGTAGACAGTACCGGCATAGAACATATTAAAGACCTGTTATTATTTTAAAGAATATGTTTACTGAAGTTAAAATAAGAGATACAACTTATTCAAGTACCTCAAACAAGTGCATTACAGAAACTATCACCAACTACACATAGAAGTAATGCACCACCTAGACTATGAGTCAACTATAAAGGAGCTCAGTCTCAGTGGTAGGCATGCTGCTAGACTCAAAAATGGCTGAGGTTTATGTGAATAGAAGATTTGTATAAACAAGGGAATACATTTAAATTTCAGTAAAAAAATTCCTGTAATTTGAAGGATATAAATAATTTTTATCATGCCAAAATGTTACAATCATTGAAAGCAGTGGCAGATTAATGAATTATATACATAACTTCATCCATTACATCCAAATTTGATAGCAACTTCAACACAATAATTAAAATTAACTTGCATGATTAAATGCCAAAATTCGATAAATCTAAACAGTTGACCAATGAGGACTATACCTGAATTGCACTATTCATTGAATTTAGAGATAGGAACTCAACAAAGCCAAAACAGTATCCCTGCTGCTGTAAAGACAAACAGTATTTTCAACACAACTGCATTAGGACTCAGGCAAAAGCAAAAAGGGTAATTTGAATGCTTCATGAACTCATAACTACCTTATTATTTCTGACTTGGATGCCTCCTGGCTTTATGGGTCCAAATTTCTTAAACTCTACTTCCAACTGAGCAACCGTCACATTTAAAGGCAAGTTTCGAATGTAAATGGAGTGCCCCTCAACTGTTAGAAGAATATAATTATTAGAAGCACAAATATCTTTAAGTAAAATTTTTGGCCGAGTTACAAGAAAATAACTAAACAACTTTACAAATTAAATAGTATGTTGCTTTAAAGTTCATTTTATCCAAACATTGAAAGACAAAACAAAACCATAACAAATGTTCAAATTGAAACAAACAACATGTACCTTCCTCTTGAATATCACTACTTTCAGGGTTGACACTATCCACTGATGCTTCAGGCACTGCAGAAGCTTCTACTGTCTCAACTACCTGGCTCTCAGTTTTGTTAGGCCCTGGCTTTATTGTATTAGTAGGCACATAGACTTTTGCTGGTCCCAAACTCCCTTTATGGACTTTCACCTACAACAAATCTAATAAGCTTCAAAATTTGAATAAGAACAGTGCTTGTAAGTTAAAGATATATAGCAATACTCACAATTGATGCATAAGACTTCTTTGGGGCATCCTCAGGAGCTAAAGAAGCCAGTTCTGTGGCCTGAGAATCGTCATTACCATTTGACTGAAAAGGGGATTCAACATTGTCTTCATTTTCAACAAGTACTTGCCTCTCATGATGATTAGATGGCTCGTACACAAGCTCGGCAACAATTTGACCTTCATTAACATGAGAATTCGCAGGGTCTGGTGCAGAAGAATCAGCTACATGACTGGGTTCTGTAAAGAAATGAGAACATCATGAATGCTATCCCTGAATAAATTTGTACCAGAAGAGACACTTTAAAATTAGTCTTGCCTGGTTCTGGGGTTACTGTAACAGCAGCTGCATCACCATCTCCATTAAATGGATGTAGTTCTGATGGTTCATGGTCTTCTACATATCTAAATACATCATTCAGAACAAAATAGCCATTGTCTTGTGGAGCAAGAAAAAATGACTGCGCAAATTTTCTTCTCATGTTATCCTTGCCAGTTAAGCATCCAGTCACCAGTACAGTCACTCCTTCCTTGTGTGATTTTTGAGCATCTGCAGTCTTTATCTCTGCTTTAAATTCCTTGAAATTTAGTGAAAGAATCTTCTCATTAATGTCCTGCACCATAAACCCTTGGAATTAGAGATCAGCTGAAAGCCTGAGATGTATCTATTAAAAATTTACAGAAGCACAAAAAAATCTAAATGTGTAATGCTTCATCCTTCTCAAATCTGTAAAACATAGGGAAATAGAAGTATAACCAATAAGTGGCATGAAGCATATAAAGTGAATATGAAAAGGAGAAAAAAAAGAGAATTAGCAGTGCATTAAAGTCTAGTGGATGGTATGAGTATGAGCAAATAGTAATAGGAGTTTATACAACTAGTAACTCAACAGAAATGAATAGAAACAATATCAGATGATGGTATTATTTTACATTTTACAATGTTTCTTCTCTTTCAAAAAAGCAGAAGACGAAACTTTTATAGAAAATTTAAAAAGTTATACAGGCACCAGTTTTGTATCAGGGAACTTACTTTCATGGTTGTAACTGATGTCATCACACCATTGGAATCAGGACGACTTATCACACTAGAGTCCTGGTAAAACCGATAGACCAAATCTGGTGAATGGTGAAGAATATGGTAATACTGCTCAACAAATGCATTACCAACAACTTGGGCACTGGGAGTAGTTGGAGGAGTAGCTGTTTGCAAGGCCATCTGTCAAAAACCAATTGATCAATATTTGAAATTTGAGAACATTTAGATACACATAAAAGTGTCAAAACTAGGTATTCAATTCCATTTAGATCTAGATGCCCTCTCTGAAAGAATTGCTTCTTGATAGAACACAGTAGTGTCATTTGATCCATGTAATTGACCTCAACTAGTAGAACAAGGCTCTTTGTTGTTGACTTGTTGTAGAGAACAGAGATGAGTTCATATCAAGAAACATAATCCATCATATGTTTAAAGTTCAGATATGTATTAATAATAAAATATAGCCACCAGTCTCAGCAAGGCATAGCATGATTAGCATCTAAAAATCACCATGACAAGATTTTCCACACCACAAAGGGGTGTAACAGGGATATTAACCATGTAATTGGGGCATAAGTGCATAACTGCATATCATATTCAGACATTGTTTATGTAGGGACATGCAGGAACAATAAGTGAGGTACACTGAGACAAGGGAAGGCAGGGGTATGTCTTAGAAGAATCCTATCGTAACAAACATCTGCTAGCAAGAATAAAGCTGAGGAGATTTGAATCCTAGAAACAGTCCTTGAGTAAAGCCTTTTAATTTTACCAAGTTGGAGGGGTATCAACAATTCAACATAGCCAAATTAGTTGCTAATCCAAGAGATGTTATGCTTCAGTAAACTGAACCAGATTATTAATCTTTAATTTTATACCACTTGAAAAGGTAACATATAATGTACATATAATCTGTAAGCAGTTTTACTTACAAATTGAATGCAAGAAAAGCAACACAGTTAACAAAGATACTTAATACTGAAGGATATCGGAGTTGACTAACCGGGAATTGATTAAACCTCATTCACATAGCTGAAAAAGTTCAAAAATTAAATTAAAATAGTTTGTGTCTGCTCCCCCGTTAGAAGGAATTTTGAGAAAATTAGAAACTCACAAAATCACTAAGAAAAAGGCAACATAGAAAGCGACAACAACGCAACGCACATTCTGAAAATGGAGTGAGATCACCTTCATTTATCACATAACAATTACATACATTCCAATGAAAAACAATAATCAAAATGCCTATTTGTGTTACGGTATTACCACACTAGCCTCAGTACATTATCCCAGATCCAAAGAGAAACAAAATCTCAAATCTAAACCCTAAAACGAACTCATAGTACGAAGCAAACAACACCCATTTGAGCTCATCGCTCACAGCAACCGAATCAATCACTATACACAAGAAAAAATTTAAACTTGGACAATATAAGAAAACCTCACAAAAAAACACACTTCACTTCAGCCCATATCTCACAATAACTATGTTGCCAAAAAAACCGCCAATAATGTCTGATCATTACTATACACATAATAAGCCATTTCCAGAACCATTAACGTAAGAGGGAAATCACCCGTTCGTGAAGATTAAGAAAACGGTTAAAAGGGAAAGTGTAGAAATTGTTGAAAAAGTGTGAGACCCATTTAGGAGAAGAGTGAGAAAAGAAAATGTGGAGTACCTGGGAATGTGTTGGTGGTGGTGATTGTGAAGACGATGAGAGATGGCACAGTGTGAGTGTGGGGTTATTGGAAAGAGGAGAGTGCAGTGCAGAGGGAAGAGACCAACGGGAACAGTTTGCGCACAAAAAAAGGGGTGTGCGAAAGCTACCTGTGACTGTGATCAGGGAAACTCACTCTCAAGTTATCATATGGGTCAGGTTTTTCCCCATGCGGTTCGTGAGGTTCCCCACTTGTGCAACTGCCAACAATGCATTTTTGTTTCGAATCATTGTATAACTTTGTTAAGAATAAATCATTGTTTAGTCTGAAATTATATTATTTATTTTAATATAAAAATTTCATTTTAACTTTTTATTTTTTAAAATATTATAGTATAGTATTTCTTTTAGTTTTTAATATTATTAAAATAATATAGGAAAAAATAAAGTAAATTAAATTATATAAAGTGAGATGTTAAAATAAAACATCTGCAAAGTCTTAAATTTAATTGAATAATATTTATAATTTCTGGAGTAAAAATAATGATCGTTACCTAATGAGTAAATTTTGAAAATTATAAATGTTGATATTTTAATTTAGTCTTTAATTTTATAAAATATTTTTTATTTAAACTAAATAGTACTTTATTAAATTTAAAATTAAATTAAGATTTTAAAAAACTTAAATATCTAATACTTATAGTTTTAAAAAGAAATTATTTATCTTAGCTTAACACTTAAAATGCATTTATATCACTAAGTACGAGTATAACTTATGATTTTATTTTACTTAATATTTTAATAGGGTTTCACAATTATTTAATATAATATTTTATATTTTATATTTCTTATGTTACACTAGTATTTTAATTCTAGTATAAATTTATAAATTAATCATTAAGATAATAAGTGTTAAATATATTAATCTTTAACTTTTTAAAGTTGATACATTTGAAATGATAATCTATTAAAGTAGTTAGATTTTCAACATTAATTTACACATTAAAAAATATTAATTTTTATTATATTAAAGGACATGCGTGATGCCAACTTAACATTAAAATTATATTATTTTTAGAGAAACACATATACAAGGGTTGATTTGTTGTATTTTCAAGCCTTAAGATGTCAAAAATATGACATTAATCATAAAAATAACGAGAATGAATGCAATAAAAATGAAGGTTCAAGAACAAATTTTCATCTTTTGAAAATGATGATGAGAGGAGAAAAGGAATGTAATCTTGATTTGCAAAATTTTAATACAACTAGAGGCAATTTAAAAAGAAGAAAAAATGAGAAAGAAAGAAATAAAGGAGTAAGAGGTGTCACTAATTATAAAGATAGTGATGCTAAGAGGAAGTGGTGGACTAGCAATCATGATCGCAGTAAGCGATGGAAGCGGAGAAATTCCAATATGAGTAGTGGATTGACTATAATTATCAAATATAATACAATTATAGAAATTAATAAAACAATTTTAAAATATTTAACATATACATTACAGGAGTAATTTATAAGTTTACTCTTTAATTTTAACTCTTTAAAATAATATTTTTTACATTTTCTTTATACATTTATTTTTTTCTTCGTCATAAATCTTAGTTATTTATAATTTCAAGTTAATTTCTTTTTCTTTTCAAATTCAACTGCTATGTTTATGGATAAATTTATTTGATTTAGTAGTACATATTTATCTTAAAAGTATTTGCTTTATGAATGTGCAAAATATTTGTTAGTTTTAAAATATTATAATTCTACGAGCATGTTTATTTTGATTTTTAAAAAGAGTTTTTTTAAAAAATATATACTTATTTTTTATTTTTAAAAGAAAAAATTCTTTTTAAAAATCAAAACAAACATGCTCTAAGATTTTATTTAAATTGTGTGCGAAATATCAAGTGAAAATTCTTTAAAAAGAAAGAAAAATTTGTAAAATTTAACTAGTATTTTAGGAAATTACACACATTCATCGATGATAATCACGTGCATGTACGTATATATGATATATAACGACGACTCTGTTCATGGATTGATGTGTTGCTAATGGGCAATTGTGGTATGGAGTGATGGTGGCTCTGTTCATGGAGGTGGATTTGCTTTGGTGGCAGAACCGTGTAATAGAATTCTACTATATTCCTTGATTAGTAGTAACTTGTAATTACATGACAATTAAGTTAATTATATGTACTAACAACGTATCAGTTATCACTAATATAATGAAATAACATCTTTCTGAAGTTGAGTTTTTCCACTCTTTTTGTTCTTTTTGGATCATTTGATGTTCTACCTCGGATTTCTAAGACCATGATGCAGGGGCTCTATGATCACGATGAAACTGTCGACTGGCCTCGCAGCAATAGAGACTTCAATTGTTGAAGGGGATGAAGCTTCACTCACATGATATTCTTAAGTATGTTTAATATATATCAAATTCATCTATACTCATGCAAATCAAAATTATACATCAGGCCAAAAGCTTGCAACAATTCTTCATCAATTTCAAATCATCAAGGCAATAATAGGGAATTAATTATGATATTATAAAGAATAAGTATTTATATAATGTCACTTATTCTTAGTCTTCTTACCCATCTTATGTGAGAAAGTCAAGTTCAATAATGGTAGGGGAGCATATGATGCATGTATAGAATTAATATATATTGAATGCTTGAACTACTCGAGGAAGTATAGACCTTGCAAAATAGGGAACTTTTTGGTATACGATTTTTGAGAAAAATTGTATTGGAAAAAGCGAGACAAATACTAGGCAATGTCACAATTTAGACTCAAGCAAATACACTGGCTTGGTTATATATGTTGTAAAGAATAAATCTTTATTTAAGATCACTATATTCTTATATAAAAGGAAAAGTAGGATTGCAGAAAAAGTAAAACACAAATGAGTAAAATTATCTTGGTCCTACTGGAATATATGACCTTTTTATTCAGTTCATAACTTTGAAAACTAAAGGCCAATATATATTTAGACATTATTTAGTTCATAACAAGTAAATTAAAGAATTAAATGGGTTACAACATTAGTGTTTAAGGATATATCTCAAGAACGGACAAAAGTCCAGTCAAAGGAGATATTTTGTAGTCTTGGAACCCTGCTTCCAAGAAGATCTTCTTCCATTCTTCTTCAGTTCTCTCTTTTCCATTGAGACATGCCATGTTTACATCCATAAGGAGCTTTAGTCCAGTAACTTCGTGCTCATCTTGCTTTTGATATATCACAATATCTATGAGAATTACTTTCCCTCTCTCACCATTATCTGAAATAGCTTCTTTACAATTTTTCAATATCTTTATGCAATTTTCATCAGTCCAATTATGTAAAATCCACTGCCAAAATACATAAAAGAAAGATGGATCAGGATTAGAAATTTTGTTAACAACTAAACGTGAGAATTGAGTGTGTTTGGAAACACGTTAAAAATTATGTAAACGTAAATCTAACACAGCAATGACATTCATATATCCATGACCAATTAAACTTGAGACCAAACATGCCATGAGTTGTGATCTAAGTTCACTAGATTTTTGTTCATACATGCGTACCTTAAGTAGAATTGCATCAGCCTCTGGAATAGATTCAAACATGTCCCCACCAACATAAGTTAAATTGTTGCTTCCCAACAAGTTCTCTACAACCTGTGGACGATCAAACACAATGCATTTCAATTGAGGAAATGCATCACAGATAATCTTGGCTGTGGTTCCAGTTCCACCACCAACATCCACGATAGACTCCAATCCCTCAAAGACCAAATTACAATCTCTCAGTGCCAAGTTGATCATTTGAGAATCACTAGCCATTGCTTCATTGAATGAGGTATTATATGCAGGATTTTCATTAAGAAAGTCCCAAAAATGTGATCCTAAAGAGACACCAAATAGTGTGAGATCTTTCTCATAAATCCACCTTTTCAATTGATGGTAAGAACCTGAAAGAGTTGGGTCAAGAACACACTCGACCATTGGAGCTAAGCAAAAGTTGGTGCCTTTAACAAGTAGCTCTGATGCAACTGTGAGAGCATATGCTTCATTGTCTTCTTTTTTGTTATGGATTCTTACTATTTCAAAGAAACCACTGTGTGCCATGTAGCGCATGATACTTTGCACCTTGCCAATTTTAGTTGGTGGAACTTGTAGAATAGAAACCAACTCTTGAAGAGTAATGGGTTGGCCATGGTTGTGGATTATGTTTGGTACGTCAAGCTCAACGGTCCATTTTAGACACATGGAGTCTATGAAAGCATATATGTGTCTGTATAAGAGAGCTTGGCCTTCGAAGATCTCACTTGCTTTACGGCCATTGATTGAAGCCATGTTTGGTAATGAATTTTGATTTGTGTTTTGTGCTGTTTTAGAATTTGATTTGATTTGATTTGATTTATATAAAGGCTTCAACTAGCTACCTTATGTCTGAAACTTGTAGTTGAATTATGAATAAGAATTGTCTAAATGAAATGTACATTACTGCAACTACGATTATTATGCCAACAAAGTTGAATTCGGCTAGTCGGCTATAAGACTCGAAGTTTGTGCAATAAAGGCAATTGAACAATGATGCATCTCTAATCTATTTTCATTTCCACACACCATAAATTACCTAAATTCTATTATATTGATAAGATGTTTGGGTCCAGGTTATGGTTACAAAGTTCCAGTTTAGTTTATAATTGCAAAATACATTGTTATTTTTTAATTAAAAAAATTGCATTGCAATAAAACTAAATTTTTTTTCACTTTTGATTATAAAAATGTTGCCATATTTTTAAATATTTATATAAGAAATAGTGCAAATAAAATTTATTATTTTTACTATTTCTTGTATAAATCTTAAGAAATAAAAACAGAATTAATAAAGTGAATTATATAATTAAAATGGAAAATAAAAATAAAAGTAGAAAACATTTTCCAAACTAGAGTCCCTTTCATTCTCTCTTAGTTTCCTCGTTTCTTGGCAATTACTATTGGAAATTGATCCTCTTTTGTACTAAGTACACAATCTTTAACTTTGATTATGTTATTATTGTGTGAATGTAATATAATTCGTATGTATGAGTCAATTATTTCAAATTATAATCATTACATGTCTTCTATGACTGAATATCTAATAGTTAGCGAAATAAAATAGAATAAAGTAAAAAAGATTAAAGCAAAATAAAATTAAACATTCCCTTGATTATTTATATTTATTATAATGGAATACAAATTTATTTTAATTTCATCATGTACCCTAAATTAAAAAAGAATAAAAATTAAAATTTTGAATAAAAAAGTATTTCATTATATACCATTTTAAATTTGACAAATATAATAATAAAATATATTAAAATTTTGTTTCATCATTCTCCATTCCATCACTTCTTACTTAATACTTCGTGGTATGTATTTTATTTTTCTGCGGTCAACTACTTTACGCTATGTAATTGTGGTCAACTTTGGCAGACGAAATGGGCATTTACTCCAGGTCAGGGACATGATAAAAAGGAAGGGATACGGTATAAGAAATAAATAAATAAAAAAAGATAATAATAAAAACAACTTTTTGCTTTATTTTATGTTAAAATGATAAATTGATATATTATATTTATTTTTAATTAATTTTTATAAAAAATTAATATGATAAGATTGTATAATAGACCAAATCTATTGACTGAAGAAATAATAAGATATGATAGAAAAAAACATCTTATTTTATTCTACCGTTTGACGTGTACTGAACAAACTCCATATATGTATTTTCCATTTTAAGTTACTAGGAAAGGAATAAAATTACTTTTTCCTTTTTAAAAAAAGAATTTGTTTATTTTATAAAAAAAAGTATTTAAGTATTTTAAAGGTAAAATTATTCTTTTTATCTTTTAATTTTAGGGTAAAATTTATTTTTATCTTTTAATTTTTTTTATTTATTTTTGTCCTCAAAGTATTATTTTTTTCTCACTTTAATCATTTTCGTTAAATTTGTTACATAACTTAACAGAAACGTCTTACGTGGCACTGAGATAGCATTAACGTCGTTTATTTAATTCAACATGAATTTTTTAATTTAAAAAAAATTAAAAATAATGAAGTGATAGCTAAATTGTAATTTTCCCTTCCCTTTTTTTCTTTTTCCTCCTCTGGTAGCCTCTTTCTCTTCCTGGCAGTCTCCCTCCCTTTCCACAACCTCTCTTTCTCCTTTCTACAGCTTCCCCTCTCCCTCCTTGCAGTCCCTCTTGTCTTTTCCTTCCTGCAGTTTCTCTCTCCTTCCTCCTTCCACAGTTTTCTCCACTCTTTCTCACAACCCACTAACTTTGTCTCTTCCTTCCTTCCCGTAGCTCTTTCCCTTCCCCTTCTTTATTGTCAACTAGCGAAAATACCTTAATGTAAGAATCCTTACATTATAAATAAGTTAGTATTCTAATTTATTTATTAGCATTGCAAAAAATTGTCCTAAATTATAGAATTCTTACATTATAATATAAAATTTGGTTGGATTTCTTAGTTGTCATTTTACTTAAAATTTTTTTTTAGGTTTAACCTCCTAATTATCATTTTTGGGTATAAAAAAATGTTTACCCATCATGCTGAAAAACATACTCATCTTACACTTGCAATATTGTCTTTCTCCTTTCCCTCAACTAAATAAAAAATTATCTCCAAAATTTTATTCCAAACATCCATTGAATCACTTAGTTTACAAAATAAATTAGCAAAGTACCAATCCATGCTCAATTATTAATTATAAATTTGATTTATAGAATACATCTATTATGCTTCCTCTCTCTCTCTCTCTCTCTCTCTCTCTCTCTCTCTCTCTCTCTCTCTCTCTCTCTCTCTCTCTCTCTCTCTCTCTCTCTCTCTCTCTCTCTCTCTCTCTCTCTCTCTCTCTCTCTGAGTTTAAAGATTGCAACTTTTCACTTTATTACTTATTGGGTTGTTTTAGATTTGTATAAAATTCTAAATTTCATTATTTTTTATGTATAATTCTTTAATTTTTTTTGTAAAATATGAATCTTCTGTTATTTATTTGTATTGTTGATAACGCTTCAGTTGCAGGAAGAGAAAACAGAAGCTGCAGAATGAAAAAACAAGGCTGGTGGATTAGAGGGAAGGAACGACGAAGTTGCGAGAAAAGAAAAAAATAGCTGCAGGAGAAAATGGAGGTTGCGAGAGGAGGAAATAAAGTTGGTAAATTAGAGAGAAAATGTGTCAAAGCTGTGAGAAAAGAGAGGGAAAACTAGAAAAATGGGCTACTAGAGGAAAGGTAGGGCTGGTGAGTCGGGAATTTAGGAGGAAAAAAGTTAAAGAGTTGTGGGAAGATGAAAGATAAGTGAGAGAGTTATACTTTTTAATTATTTTTTAAATAAAAAAGTTCACATATATTTAAACAAATGAGTTAAAGCACTTTATCGCTATGTAAGACATGTCTACTATGTTATGTAATAAAACTAATAGAGAGAATTAACATAAAAAAAATAATACTTCAATAATAAAAAAAATAAATTTAAAAGACGAAAATGAATTTTATCTAAGAGATAAAAAAAGGTAAATTTTTAAGTTAGAACATAATTTAATTTTAAAAATAAGACAAACAAACGGCCCTGAAAATTGGCTAGTCTTAGCTGGCTACCTACCTCAGTAAATTTGATGTGTTGTAATTTTTTCGAAGAGCTGCACACAAGTCACATGGTGGGGTTCCAAACAATGAATGATTTCAATTGTAATTGAATAATTCGATTTTTTTTTTATCTTTTATTCTTATAAATCTTTATAGTTATTAAATGAAAAAATGTAAAATAATTTTATATTTTTAGGATAATAAATACATGTATTTTTTATTTAATACTTATTTTATAAAATAATAAGATAGTTATTGAGAAGGTATAACGAAATTCATTATACTTAAGAAAATTAGAAATAAAATATTTCATGTTAATGTACTCTCACCGCGATTTTTACTATACTTTCAACCTAATTTTTAATGAAAATAATTAAATAAAAAATATTTCATTACAAAGTGTAATATTTAATACTATTAATATTTTTTATTTATTTTCTTAATTATTATCTAAAGATAGAGACTAACAAAATCAAATTATTGTCAGTTAATATACATATTTAGATTAATTTATTTTAACAAAAAATATTTTAAAATGTCTAAAATGTGAGTGTTTATAAAAGATATTTTTAAACGTCTGCGTAGTATGTAAATGCAACTATAAAGTAAGAGTTGAATGGGCTCTTGATTTCCGATTCAGAGTTTATGTAAGGTGTGAAATTGATCTAGTTTCTAGAAAGAAGAAAAAGTATGATATTTAATTTTTCTATGAATGGGTTGTTCTTTGTTGAAGAAGAAGTCTTGGCATTGACTTGGAATATAGCATTAATTCGAATGGGCATTATAGTTCCTCAAGCTATGAGAAATCAACCTTCATATCTTAAACATGAAAGCAATCTCTCTCAGTTATATATACTCAATAATTTTTAAAATTAAGATAATTAATACAACTGGCAATGAGATTTTAATGATCCAAAACAAAATAAATGTTTTCACTTCCTTTTTTTTCTTTTAATTTCAAATTCTTACTATTAGTTTTTTAAAAAATTAAATTTCAATCAAAACTGAATTTTAAAAATAATTTTAAATTGGTTTAGGAAAGAGCAAATTAATTTAAAATATAATCCATACAATTTATTTTAAAATGCCAAGTCATGGCCAACCCTACTCCTTATACGTAGCAAACAAGATTATGGAATGAAGTGACATGTGCACGGATTAAAAACAGCCACGTATGGGGCACCAAATTAATTCTAAAACAGTAAAACTTAGTTGATAATTATTAACATATTTATCCACATACCTCTATATTGTTTTTCTTTTATAATTTTTCAGAAATTTCACTAAAAGTGAGAGTATTAAAATTATTAAATAATATTCACTTAAAATTATTATGAATTCAATTTTAATTTTTACAAAAAATTATTTAATTTAAATTTTATTTTAACAAAAAGCATATAATTTACTCGTACACCAAAAACTAAAATAACATATTTTTATTTTTTAAAATTGAAAATTAAATACTTTTTTATGAAAATAAAAAATAATAATTGTTTTAGAGATAAATTATTTAATTAAGCTTTTTTTGGTCCGAAAAAGCTTATCGTTTTGGCAACGTGATGTGTACCAGGCAAACGACAAGAATACATTTAATTTTCATCATGTGTACTGAAATTAGTACTTTTAGCAGGTCCACCAAACAGTCCAAAAGAAAAATAGGTGTTATATTTAAATTTTTTCAATAATTTTTTTAACATTTTATTTTATTTTGTGCTACTATATCGTTTTTTATTTATTACCTTTTCTTTGTCCAATTAACGCTCATTTCATAGGTATGAAATTATTTTTATTATTAGTAAAATAATAAGAAAACAAATCAATAATAATATTATAAATAGTGGAATACAATGAAAAAGAAAAACTAAAATTAAAATATTATATAAATATATAAAAACTAATATTTTAATTATGTGATAGGGGCTGCAATTAGCGCTGACGTAATCTGTTTTTATTGGATTCCATGAGAATTTTTTTTTTAAATCTATTGTCACTTTCACATATTTAATGTGACTTTTTTTTATTTTCTATTTAAATATTATAATTAATTTAATGAACTAATAAAAAATATTTTATATAAAAAGTAGCAAGATATTTTAAAACGAGAGCAGAATCACCCATAAATTACTTGAAGAAGAACACAAGATAGAGTTAGCTTAGACAACACCTAATTACCCTACCAAAAATAGCAAACTTTACGGATTGAATTCAGTGTAGTTCTCGTCAAATTTTTTTTACATATTTTTAATTTTTTTTTACATATTTTTACATTTTTACTTAAATTCATGTATTTTTATTTAAACAAAAATATAAATTTTTGCCTAAATGCACGACACAGTTCTCGCAAAAATCACACTGGATTCGGGTCCAAACTTTACATATCATCCTTAGCTACTGAACACAACCAGAAAGATTAAATTCAGATGGTGAATGAACGATAAAAGAAATTAAAAAAAACAAAAAACTCACAGACTTCACTTTATAGCAATAATAAATAGATATATCTTGCTCAATCATAGTGTAACCCTGAATGGAAAATTTCATGAAACAGATCCATCACATGCTCGTTCAGAACGAGCCCCACTTCAACCCCACTAGACCCGTCCTTTCTATCTACCAACCCAATGGTTAAACCTCTATCGACCGATGTCAGCTCCACCTTAGCAGGTCTTCCCCAACCAAAATCAGTTCCATAAAGACCGAACCGGTTCGACCCAGCAACTCCAATTACCTTAACTCCCTCACTTAACATAGACATAAGCCTAGGAATATATGTATCTACTCCATCAAATGCTCCCTTATCAAGCATTTTTACTTTATTCCAAATCTTCTTAGCAACAATAACCACCCCATTTTCTTTTATAAAATCCTTCGATTGTGTATCCGCTGCATGAGAAACCACACAGTTGCCGAAATAGTTCTCAGGGATTGGAGGCTCTAACCGAGCCCTGCAATCAGCATTGAGCCCCAAAACGAATTTTTCAACCTTTTCTGCTTCTTGAAAGGCTTTAGCAATGCACACAGATACATAAGCACAGGAAATGACAAAGGTAGACAAAGTACTAGGTTTTGAAGAAGTGAATATTGGTTTTGCTTCTTCTGCCACTGATTCCCACTTGGATAACACCCTTTTCTTTATCTTATCCAAATCTCCACGTGTGAGCTCGAACGTGGCTCGAACTGAATGGTTCTGAATGGGTGTTGACATAATCTTTAAGCTCCGTCCGTTGCTGGTTTCAAAATGGTCCTTTAATTGTGATGGAATCTGTAACCAGTTATCTATGAACACTTTTTCAAGAGAACCAATTGGATCTTTGATGAGTTCCCTTTCAAAGAAAGGCTCTAACTCTGGCACCAAAGATGTTGGTGATGATGATTCTTCTTTGCTGGATTTACATACATATGCCCAAGCCTTGATGAACATAGTTGAAGATTTTCCATCAAGAACAGCATGGTGAGCGCTGATGCCAATGCAAAAGCCCTTGTTCGGGAAAAGGGTTATCTGCAAGGAGATAACTGAAGCAACAGAATCTGATGATTCCAAGTGGGGTACCAAAGCACGAGATTCTGTGGCATCACGGGGTGAATAATCCAAGGCGTGATTGAAGCATTCATCATCATCACACTGTGCTAGGACTAAGGAGACACCATCATCACCAGGGTTGAATTGGATGAAGGGTTTGGGAGAATCAGAAGGCCAAACGATGTTACCAGCTAAAGGGAGGAAGTGTTGGAGGGTGTGAGAGAGTGAGGTTTTGAGCTTTGGAACCACGTTGTGAAAGAAAAATGAAGGGTGTGATTGTGGAGCATGGAGGGAATAGAAGAAGATGCGCTCAACTGGATGGAACCTTAGCCAGAAAAGGTCAAAGAAGGTTAGAGGGAGAGTGAAGTGGGTTGCAGATGAAGGAGAAACGATGCAGTGCTCAAGGGTTTTCACAGAGTTTTCCACAGAAGCCATGTGAAGAAAAAGAACACAGGGAATGCTAATACTAGCTTTCTTCTCTGTTTGCTGGGTAATGCGGTGGGGGTGGCAAGGTATTGCATTTGGGGAAAGTACAGGAAAGGGTTTGATTGGAAATTGATTTTCTGAGGGAATTGATAATTATTTTTTAAAAAGAAATTTTATATATAAAAGGGAAGGTTTATAAATTTTTCAAAATTATTTTAATTTTATGTTTTTAAGCTCTTTCAAGAAGTTTATAAGGGACGGTGCCAAAAAACAAATCTGAGAGCTTTAAGAAGTTTTAATGTTATATCACTACTCACGGTTTATTGTTAAATTAGATTCTAAAGTGTACATGCAATGTTCCAAATTAAACTGAATAAAAAATAAAAAAAATAACACAAATATCCTTTTTGTAATTTCTAAAATAACCACGAATAAAAGCAATTTTTTCAAGAACAATAAGTATAAATATTTACTATGGTTTCACTGTAAACTATTAACAAATGTTATTATTTTATATGTTATTTACAAATAGATATAATATTAAATAATAGGGTAATTTTCATTTAATAGAAATTAAACGGTTAATATTAATCATATGAATTTACACTATTGTAATATATAAATCAATAAGAATCAATAATTTTGTTATTAAAGAAAATTGGTGTATTCTATATCAGCAATTAAATATTAGTATAATACTTGGTCAATAATTATTATATTTTTCTTTATAATGGTACATTTCCATGAGCTTGGTAAAAGGCATGCATTCGTCAGATTAGAAGTCATCGATTTCGGCGACTACAAACGTCATCCTCTTAGGATGTAAAAACAAACAACAAAAACAAAAACAAAAATAAAAGCCGTGTCTGCCATTGTTTGTGTCACCCAAGCCCTTTGTCCTTTACAAGAAGAAGGATAACTTATTGATGACACCGATGCCCTGACATTTTCACAATTATTTAATTATAAGAAAAGCGTATTTTATTTTTATATATTTATTTTTAATTTGTATTAAGCAAAACTAATAAATATAAAAAGAATAATATATGAATAAAGAAATTGTTAATATTATTAATATATATATATATATATAATTTTTAATCAGTATTTTCAACACCTTTTCTTTTAATCTAACAAGAGTTTCAAGAATATTAATTGAAAACTGATAAATAATTTTTATCATTATAAATTATAGAAAAATTGGATGAAAAAATTATCAGAAGATGTAATAATAATTTTTTATACAATTTTAAATCCTTAATTATTTAACTAATGTACATTCAAAGCAATTTTTAGCATATTAAAAAGATAATATTATTTTCATACTTTTATTCTCTATTCAAGAGGATAACACATATTAAAACAATATAATAAATAACTTTATTTAAACCAAAGTTGTTTCTAATTTTTTTTTTTTGTAAAAAGAACATATTTAGTATTTATGTGTTGCTTGCAATGTTTTCAATGAAGATTGAAATTGTACTTCCATAATATAGGTTAACTTATGATGTTAATTTTTATTATTAAAATAGAATTTTAATTAAATAACGAAACCAAATTACTTGGAGTATTGGGGCTAAATTTTATTCATATTAGAAGAGGAGACAAATTCTCTTTTGTGGGTTTTTAGCCAAAATAGGATAGAAATAATTTTTTTTTTTACCAAAATAGAGCATTTTGTAAACATTTTTAATGTTTTAGGTTGTTTTTGACACGTTATTATGAGTGTTAGCCCTTAAAAACTAACACTTATTTTTTTAATAATAAAAAGAATGTCCGCTTTTATATGGTTGATACTTAAAAAATACGAGACTGACACACTTTTTTATTATTAAAAAAATAAATTTGCTACAGGTGCATTTGCATAATGTGTAGTTTCCATGGTGTGTTGATGAGGTTCTTAACTCTACATATTCAATGGGCATTCCACACTTTCTTGCAATACCTTACCTAATCTTAGGGCACATGAATCCCTTTTTTACGTTTTCTATGGTAACGCTTGGATACCGTTTCTAACAGATAGAGACAACGAAGGATAGTGATATTAATATTTGTGTTTGTATATTGTGTTTTGACGTAAGAACAAAATATGTTGTATTGTATTTTGTATTATATTTGGATATAAAAATTATGAAAATAGTTTATATAATTTTTAAAAATTATATAATTTTAAAAAATTATGATAAATATTTTTATCTTTAAAAGTTTATTTTATGTATTTCTAAAGCTGAGATATTAATATCTTTTTTTAAAAAAATTCATTGATATTTTTTAAATTTGTGTCTTGTCTTTTGTGTTTCTTTCTTTTCAATAAAATTTTATTCAAACATAATATTTGTCTCTATGTCTTTGTCACAAGTTCTCTGTCCCGCAACCAAATGTTTCTTATGGGTTTGGTCAACAAAGCATGCAAAATTACTTTCGTGATTTCAGATGGTTACTACAATGAACGCATTTGGCGCCGCAGAGCAAAGTCATAGAATCACATATAAATGTGGCTTCTCTCCCAGATGGGGTGGACACTGAAGATGACAAGAAGGGCCAAACCAAAGTTATCAAGTCCACCATAAACAACATGCGTGCTAAGCTTCCCAAGCTGAAAGAAGATACAAATGCTCTGAGTAGTGACAACGAGATTTCTTGTATAATTGTCGCTAAAAATATGGGATGGGCCTTGCAAGTTGGCCTGAGAATTAAAGGGACGCTATTATAACATCAACTACTTTTCTGGCATCCTTTTTAACTCTATCCAGAAGGTTGGTGATTCCAAAAATGATAAGAAATATCTAAATATTTATATTAAATTTATTTTTTTAATAATAAAAAGAGTGTCAGACTAGCCGACACTTAAAAATAAATGTCATCTATGTAGAGGCCAACACTCTTTATTAGTATACTGACGTGCCAAAAATAACCTAGATAAAAAAATGTTTACAGAGAGACCTATTTGGATGATTTTTTTTTTCTATCCTATCTTGGCTAAAAATCCCCCTTTGTCTTGCCGTTTGGAAAATAACTAATGAGCAAAATAACAACCACAAAATATCAATCATCTCTTCCGAGATTAACGCCACCCTATTAAAGCCACACTATTTTGTTGCATTAGGAGCCAAGGCTTTATCTTCGAACAAAGAACCTCACATTCTGATTAACATGGCTTCTCACAACAACATCAAAGTCCACGAGCACTCCTTCGTTGCTCCAACATCACTCACCCAAACAGCATCCCTTCCTTTAACTTTCTTTGACTTGTTTTGGATCAGAAATCAGCCTGTTGAACGTATCTTTTTCTTCTCCTTCCATTCACAGTCACACTCATCTTTTTTCTTTGAAAAAGTGGTTCCAAATCTCAAAACCTCACTCTCTCATGCTCTCCAACACTTTTTTCCTCTTGCTGGCAAGATAGTTTGGCCCTGTGATTTCAAAAAACCGATCATTCATTACACTCCTGGCGACGCTGTTTCTTTTGTAGTTGCAGAATCTGATGCTGACTTCAATCACGTGTTATCCAACACACCCCATGAAACAGCAGTATCTCGTTCTTTAATACCCCACTTGGAATCTTCGGATTCTCATGCTTCTGTTATCTCTCTTCAGATAACTCTGTTCCCAAACAGAGGATTCAGCATAGGCATCAGCGCCCACCATGCTGTTCTTGATGGGAAGTCTTCAACTCTGTTCCTCAAAGCTTGGGCTTTTCTATGCCAAACCAACAATGAAGAATTATCTTCATCATCCTTAGTGCCAGAGTTAGTTCCTTTCTTTGAAAGAACGGTGATCAAAGAGCCAACTGAGTTAGGAGCTAGGATACATGATTGGACCGAAGTGTTATCCAAATTATTCCCTCATAAAAGCAACGATGGTCGAAGCTTGAAGATTCTACCTTCTCAACCAAAAATTGTGGACACAGTTCGAGCGACGTTCGTGCTCACCCGAGTAGATTTGGATAAGATTAAGAAAAGAGTATTGTCCAAATGGGATGATTTGAATGGAGGAGAATCGTCAAATTCAAAGCCAAAGACTTTATCAACCTTTGTTATCACATGTGCTTATACACTAGTTTGCATAGCTAAAGCCATAAAAGGGGTTCAAAAGGAAAGGCAGAAATTCGCTTTTGGGTTCACGGTGGATTGTAGGAACAGGTTAGAGCCTCCAATCCCCGAAAACTATTGTGGAAACTGTGTGTGGGGTCAATTGGTGGATACCGACCCATTGGACTTTATAAAGGAAGAAGGGGTTGTTATTGTTGCTAAGAGCATTTATAATAAAATAAAAAAGTTGGACGAGGGAGTTTTTCAAGGTGCTGATAAAGCACATGGTAGATATATTGCTTTGGCAAAAGAGGGAGTTGAAGTAATGGGAATAGCTGGGTCGAACCGATTTGGTGTTTATGGGATTGATTTTGGCTGGGGAAAGCCTTCTAAGGTGGAGATAACATCAGTCGATAGAGGCTTAACCTTTGGGTTCACAGAGAGCAAGGATGGTAAAGGTGGGGTTGAAGTTGGGCTTGTTCTCAATAAGCATGAGATGGATCTCTTTGATACCTTCTTTCATGGAGGGTTATGTGATGATTGACGGAAATTTTTCTTTCTATTGTTGTCAAATTTCGTGATTTATTTTTATTTTGGTTTGTTTCGAACCTACGAGCTAAGAAAACTTTAAATTTGTTGTTGCTAGAGATTTGTGGAACGGAACATATTATGTACTTTTATATTTTAAATCTCTCTATTAAATAATTTCTCTTACATTAATTTCGAGTAACGTTATATTTTCTTAGAATATCTTTTGTTTTTTTTAGGGTTTGTTAAATTTAATTTTTAAGCTTGAATTTAAATTTATTAAAAATGTTTTAAATAAATAAACAGTAAATATATTTAATATCTTAATTAAAAATATAAAATTATTTATTAAACAGGAGAATTATTAAGAGGATGTAGTAAGAAAGTTTACAATTATTTATTTATTTGCTTTGTTTTCGTAATTCTCAGCATTTAGGTTTAGACGAGAAACTAAGGAAATCTAGAACAGAAGATTCATTAAAAGTTGACGAGGAAACGAGAAGGGGGTTATTAGATTCTATCTTAAAATAAATTAGCATTTAAGTGAAGTTGTGCAAAATATAGATGAACCAAACTCCAGTAATTTGAACATACCTGTATGCCTTTCTAGCATTCCTCTCCACACGACCACATATATGTTTAGGTGATACACAGTAGAAACAAGAGAAACCATGGAAAACAATGAAAATGAGTCACAGGCTCTAATATTATGTTTGGTTTTATCTTGAAATCCGTTGATCTGTCAAATGGGCATATAACACGCACCTTAAGTGAGACAGCTGATATAAAACCTTCACAAAGAACTAATAAATATCTCCATTCAATAAACCGTGGATAGAAGGCTAGGACAATGGTATATTCTTTGTAGAAATTCCATGGTTTTTAAGCTTAATTTTAAGCATTTAAATGACGTAAATTTGAATTAAAAATGTTATCCATTATATGAAAAATATAAAAAATATTTTCAATAAAGTTTTTCATCTATTATATTAATATAAATTTAAAAATTTTAGCATTCTATTTGAACCTTTCTTTGTTGCCACAATGCAGGCCAAGGTGTATGTCAACATCATGATGTTTTCCGTCAATAATTAATCCTATATACGTGGCTCCATGGTAGGGCCCAACAATTCAAGCTCGGCTTACGAAGGGAATTGAAAAATAATATACATAGCATTCGAATGAAAGTGACGACAGAGTCATGTGAATATCGATGGATTGGTGGGATTGAGGTCCTATTCTTGACAGATATAAATCTTTTCATCAATCAAATTGGTCTAATTATCAAACGAACTATGAAGTGAGAACGTCAATGAATGGTTTGATGGCCGGTGAAGAGTGGGAATTCATAATGGGTAGGATATGGTACTATATTAATTATTTTTTATTTGCATTTAAAAAAAAAATACCTGCATTCAGTTAATCAGTTCTATGTGTAGGCAGTAACTTCAATTTCTATCCTCGTATTAATGGTATTATTAAAAAATATATTTATTTAACTTTATATAAGTAATATAATAATATAAAAATTTAATATCTTGTTGTCAAATAAAATTTAAACATAATTAAAAATAAATATTTAAAAATTACAAATATTAAGTATATCTTAATATAATTTTTTAAATTAAAATATTTAAAAATTATAAGTAGAATTAAACATATAAATTATTTATCTGCGATGACTCTGTCTCACGTGAGATCCAATCAAAATGACAGTATTGAACTAGATGATTGACAAGTTTGAATTTTGATACACTTTTCAACATGTTTATATATACTTATTCTTGATTTGAATATATTTTTACACTAATTAGCTTATTAGTTGTTGAAGTTAAGCATATCTAATGATACAACAGGCTCATGGATATTTTGGACTTAAACCTAAGAAAAACATGCCAATCTGGATAAAGCATGCCCATACTTCAAGCAACCAACATGCCAATGTTATAAGACTAAGCACGGTTGTGCATATTGACCAGCATGCATAAGCCAAGCCCGGTTGTGCTTGTTGTCTGTTACAACAAAATGAAGGCATTTTTTTTAGATCTACGTATTCAATTTTGAAATTTAAAAAAAGATTAAATCTACCATCAAGAGATATCCATAAGAGGCAAACTTTAACTCCTATTTAAATGGCCTCAAGGGTGATGAGAGGTATCTTGATTTTTACTCACACCTTTAAAAATGCTTGGAGTCATGGAGAGTGGAGGTCACTGGCAAAGACAAAGAAATATTCTTTATGGTCTAAACAAGTGATTGAAAATATGTTTGATGGATTAGAACTTTGATCATCATCCTCCTTAGAGAATTGTCCTAGTTTGCATTCTTCTTTCATGTTTATGGAGCTTATTACCTTTGGTTTGGTTGTTCATTTTAGGATGAGTAACTAAACCTATAACTAGGATTATAATGGATCCTTTGCATGAATTTGCGTGATCTTTCTATTTGATAATAATTTCAGTTTCTGTTTGTGATTAGTTTTAATTCTAGTGCACATATTTGTATGTTAAGAATTTGCCACTTTTAGCATGTCGTAATTAATTACATAGTAGGCGATGTACCAAGTGTGCTTAATGAACTCATGGAATAAAACAAGACAAGAATTAAGTGGACTATAACTATTCTCTTCTAATCGTTATTTAATTAACAAACTCATAGGCACTTCAAGCTTTCTTATCTTTTTACCTTGTATGATAATTGGAAAGACTGTTAAAATTGCATGACTATTGGATATTAATAAAATTTGTATGAGTGATTGAAAATTATAAGGAAATTAGAATTAGAGTTAAGTAAAAAGAAAACATAAAAACATGTAAAGGTGAACTCTTAAGCCCTATATTCTCTTCCAATTAGTAATCAAAAGTGTGTTTCCTTGATGCTTTTAACTCGTTTAATTAGTTTATTTACTTTCCAAACACATCTTTTAAATTCAAACGATTAAATCATAATTTTCTTGGTACTTGAAAAAATTCCTATGAGACTATAATTTGGAAACTTAATTTAAACCTTTATTACTTTTCAGTGGATACATTTGTCCATGAACAACAACGACGAGATGGATTTGCATGATGAATGTCGTTTCATATGGGATCACTGGGTGACTTCTTGTGGTAGCTTCAGCAACTAACTTTGACGATTATGATTGCTGCAATATGTTTGAATAATGTAGACATTGAGAATAAAAGTAGGGTTAGGGTAGAAAAATTCAAGTACTCAATAACAACAAGTAGACATATAACACATTCTTTTCTTTTTTAAAATTTGAATTTCAAATTGAAAAAAATAGATTTAATTGAAATTATATATATATATATATATATATATATATATATATATATATGCTAGTACTTTTAACCTACGTACTGCATAGAAGTATTTTGTTAAAAATAAAAATTTATTTAAAAAATAATAATAAATTAAATATTTATAATAGTTACAATAAAATATTATAATAAAAAAAATATACGTATATATCAAAAAAATTATATTTTTCTATGTGAAGAAAAAACTATTTAACAGGTAAATTATAATAAAAATATATAATAAAATTAGTAAAACAAACATAAATAAAAATTAACAATATTTTTATATTTTATATCTTTTCATAAACTTCTTTGAATGTAAATTGTAACATTCTCAATTTTTTGTTTCTCAAAGTACAACACTTATATATAACCATGATAAATAATATAGATTTTAAATTTAATGATAGTAGAAAAAAATGTACAAGGAAATTAAAATCTTTCCCATAAACAAAACTATTTTCAAAATAATTCATGGTCAACATAATATGATGAGTAAAATGAACTATAATTTAATTCAGTTCATTTATATACAATGAGTATAATAATTTACAAATTGTTCATCAACATATGTGGGATTCAAAATAAAAATTACATAACCAAAGTAAACTAAGTCTTAGAGCAGTCATAACTCATAGCCAAAATACTAAGGTCTAGGTACTAATTATCACCATGCCATCTCTCAATCTCTACTAGATCTTCAGAATTTAGATCTTCATCATCTCTAAGATAGAGATCACCAGAGTCAATTGTAACCTCAACACCTGAGACTCACTCGAAAGTAACTTTGGTTGATCTTCTAAGATGATCATAGTCATGGTAAGTGTACAAGTAATAGCTGAAAGAGTCTTAACTGTACCTCTATAAATATATATACATAAGATGTGGTGAATCCTATTATTTACAGAAAAATCTAAAGGAACACTTTAATATAATTCCATCTCCAAAATATAGACATGGCTAGGGTGTATTATCACAGTGTATGGCTAGCTTAAAATAACAAGTTCTTCGACACTCATTAAATACATAATCTAAAGGAACCCCTCAGCCCTGCGTGGATGAAATTATAGTGTGATGAGATTACAGTGTCACAGTGAGCGTGACTATGTGTAGTGAGCACACGCGTGAATGAAATGTTGAAAAAAGTGATTATAATACGAGAGTCAAAATATATGAATGTAGGTGATTGCAATACATGTATTGTGGTACGGTTCAAAGGGTGTACTCATAATATATGCATTATAGTACACCAAGTTATTTGGTCAATAGTCACGTATTATGACACGTTGCCCTATAAAAAGGGTGTGAAAAAAAAATGAGAAATATGGTGGTGAGTTTAGATAGCTACAGAGATACAACTAGAGGTATAATGTCCGGAGAAGATTTGAAAAATCTTGGAAAAATGAGGGTGGTGAATGCTAGTATGACTAGTACACAATGATTTGCTGAAAATGAAAGTATTTACATGTCACACACTTATTTCCTGACGGATCTCCTGACTATACCTTTGCTAGAAGGGGCTGAATTGGCACATGTGTATCCGTGTTGCTACGACTATCTAAACTATGAAGTCCTCAAGAGATCCCAGGGGCATTGAATGTGAATGTGAAATAAATGTGAAAGTGTGATGTGCATGAAGTAGTATAGAAATTGTACAGTTATAATATATGCATTGTAACATATCGGTTGATGCTATTATAATATATTTGTTGTAATACATCGACATATGCGATTAGGACTCATGTGTTGCGACATATCGACTGAAGTGGTATAATACATGTATTGTGACGTGTAGGCTAGCAGATAGACGCATGTTATGAAAGTTTGTGAATATGATTGGTTGTCTATCTTATGTGTACTATTCTGTGATAGTGAATTGTATAACTTGAGTGTCGGTGTTAACTCAATCCATGTCAGAAAGTATTTTTGGGTGATATATATACATGTATATAAGATCATTTTGTTATGTTAAATAAGAGATTTAGTGGGGCGGGAGATACTCACCCTTACTAATATTTTCAAGTAGCGGATGTGAAGAGATAAAGATGTTTGATCTGTTCTATGATCATAATCCAAGAGTATTAAAAAGAAGACTGCTCTGTAGGGATTGAAAAAATTGAGAACTTTGTATTGATTTATTTAATTATATTTCGTGTTGACTAAAGTTTGTAAATGATTTTAGAACTTAAATACTTAACAAATTTTGATTGTAAATAATATTTTGAAAATATCTTTAGTGAAATTTCAAAATTTGTATGTATTAAAAAATAAATTTATTTTATCCGCCATGAAAATTTATTTATTTAGATAAAGAAAATGAAAGAGTTACAAAATGAACTTTACATTATTAGAAATAAAATATTACCTTCCACCTACTTATTACTATATATATTTATAACAAAAATTATAATTAAGATTTAAAATGTTTAGATTCATTTACATGGTTAATAATATGGATGGTCAAAACAAATGTTGTGGTATTATCAGAAATGAAAATAACATATTGACTATAAATTATATTTAATAATCATTTATTAAAATTAATTATAATATTTTTTATAATTTAATAATTAAAATTATCATCAATTCATAATTATTATCATTAAAATGTATTTAAATAAAATCTATCATAATTAGTTTTATATAAAAATTTAAATATAATTCAAAATGATTCATAATTATCATTGATACATATTGATTCATTGTTTATTGAAAAATGTTTTTTGTTATATTTCTACTTATTGGTATAAATTATTTTTATGTATTTTTATTTTTATTTTAAAATATTTATTAATAATAGTAACATAATAGATTTACATTATTTATATTTAAACATAATTAGAAATTTTTACTGTTTATTTTCATTTTTATGTTGTCTTTAATTTATTTTTAAAAATTTATTTTTTTATATTTATATCAACTAAAAGAATAACAATTTTTATTATTGAAGAGTATGAAAAATATATAAAATATACAAAAAAAATTATAGATAAAAATGTCTTTATCATATTTTAAAATATAATTATATTTGATATCATTTAATATAATAAAATTTTATCGTTATATATTTTTATATTTAAATTATAATTTTTTGTTTATTTTAAAATAAATTAATTTAACAAAAAATATAAAAAAAATTGTATAACACACAAATATATTTACTAATTTATAATTACATTATTATTATTATTAAGGTTTAAAATATTTAAAATCACATATAAATTAAGTTTAACTGATATATTTATTTTTTTATATAATTTATTTTAAAAAAAATCAAAATTTTCATTTTACATTTTTGTATTTTTCTGTCACATTAAAAATAATAATTATTTAAATTATAATGTGTATTAGATTGCCGTTTTCACAAATTCCCAATACTTTCCAATTGGGTACTGTAAAGCCAAGCAATCTTTATAAATTGAAGGCAGAAGCAACAAAAAGGTTAAAGAGCCCCGACTAAAATGCATGGTTAGACTTTCATTCTCTCTCATTCCCCCTCCCTGGGGGAGGGAGTGGTGAATGGTGATTAACTCCAGCCCTGTAAATGCTCTACAGTGACACATTGATATACAAATTTAATTATCAGAAATTCTTTTGGCTGGGCAATGAAGTACTACTCTAATATCATCAAGTGCTACTCTAATATTATCAAGTACTATAGCATATCAAACAAAATAATGGACGCACACCCACAGCCAAATTATCATAAACAATGGAAGGTTGGAAATAAAACTATACCTTGTCAGTACCAAGGGAATTTGCAACAACATGAGTAACCTGTTCATCAATCTGGTTTGTGCAAACAGCACCAAATTGTTCAGCTGTCTGCCACAATGGATGAAGGTGAGGATTTGCTTCACCAACAGGAAACACCCTACTAAATACTATTCGACAACCAGCCAAGATTTTCTCATGCTGTAACGCTTGTAAGTAGTATAATAATATAAAAATATAATTTTTATTTATTAGATAATATATGTGAATGAGGTAGGATGATTACTTAAATATTTATATCTAAATTCATCTTCATTAAAATTTATGAGTATTTCTTTATATTTATACTTATATTCATTTAACAGGTAAATATTTTATTTGTTGTGAATAAATTTCCCTAAGTGTATTCACACTGAACTTATTTTCGTTAAAATTTGTCGTATTTTTTTATATCTATATTTATATGTGTTTAACGGATAAATACTCTTTATTTATTAGGGATAAATTTTGCTAGTTCCTGTTAGCTCTTTATTTTTTATCATCCCGAGGAAAGAATGTTTCAATCAATATTACTTATGGATACGGGTGAATTACTAGAGTGTAAAGTGTGTTTCAACGTGATGCTTCTTTGTATAAAGTTAAGTATGTAATTTAAATCACCGTAATCGCATGGAAAGAATAATAAGAATCCATTCCCATTCACATTTTGCATAGAATGTGGTTAGAAGGAAGAGAGATATAATAAAAGTCTTTCCTTTTTTACTCAAAAAAATGTAATTTAAAATTTTTTAAATAGGTATTTTTTAAAATTATTTCTTTTAAGACTTTTTTTTTTAATCAAGTATTGCATTTTTCAGAGTAATATTGACTTCAACGTTGACAGATGCAAGTATAATATACATAAAAAAATCACAAACAAGAAAATAATTTTAAAGAATATTTATTTTATAAATATATTTTTAAAATTTTATTTTTTAATAAAAAGTCAAGAATAAAAAAAGGGAAATAATTAAGAGATGTGATTGATGATGTAATAAAAAATTATAAAAAAAGAAGAAAAATAAATGTAATAGAAATTAAATGTGAAAATTCTAAGAGTTACAATGCAAATCACAAATTTTATTGATGTAAGAACACGGGAAACTGAAGAAAGAGGCACTCAAGATTCAAGGCCTTTGGCAAAGAGAGAAGCAAAGGCTTCCATTGATTCTTTCTTAGACACAAAACCTATCTGAATCCCATCCCCATTTCTGCTATCTGAAACACTAAATGCTGCAGTTTTGTCTATAGAAGCCATCTCCACCTTCATTGGTCTTCCCCACCCAAAATCACAACTATAAACTTCAAACTTGGGTGACCCAGCAATGGAAATTATCTTGTCATCAGTGGTAACACCATTAAGAAGCCTTGAAGACAAATTTTCTGCTCCATTCAGCACTCCATCTTTCAGTGTTTCCAAAGCCTCACTCAGTGCTTCAACAGCCACAATTAGTCCATCTTCCCCCAACAATTCTCTTTTTTCAACAACTGCAGCTCTTCCTCCAATACAGTTTCCAAAATATGTTGGAGGAAGAGGTGGCTCTAACCTTGCCCTGCAATCGATGCTGAAACCTAAAATAACCCTTTTGCCTTTCACTTCCTCAACTTTCACCCTGCAAACCCACGCATAGGCAACACATAACACAAACGTTGACAAGTGAAGCTTCTTGTTCCCTTTCTTCTTGGACACTACAAATTGCGTGAGCTTTTCAATATCTGAACGTGACAATTGAAATAAGCCTCTTGTTGCGTCTTCTGGAACTTGCAGATCCCAAGCCATAAGGCTTCTGTTGTTGGGTCCACCGTGTTTTAGCCAATCATTGGCATATATTGTTCCTAGTTCCTTGGGGTCTTTGACCCTCTCATAAAAAGGACTTAGTTGAGGTGGCAAAGAAGAGGGTGATTCTCCTAGGTCGCTGCAAAGATAAGCCCATGATTTGACAAATGATGTTGAAGTTTTGCCATCTAGAACAGCATGGTGTGAAGTGATTCCAATGGAAAGTCCAGTGTTTGGAAATAATGTGACTTGAAAGGCCACAACCGTAGCTTGTTCATGGGATATGTTCAGGTGAGGTAAAAGATGGTGAATTTCTTTAGCTTCACAAAGATCCGTGCCAGCTAGATGGTTGAAATCAGCATCAGATTCAGCAACAGTGAGGGAAACAGTGTCACCATTGTCGTAGTTGATGATGGGTTTGTTGGAATCAATGGGCCAAGTGACGTGTCCAACAAGAGGAAAGTAGCAGCCAAGTGCAAGAGCAAGAGAGTGTTTGAGTTTGGGAAGAAGGGTATCGAAGAAGAATGAGGTTGGGTGAGGAAATTCATAGAAGAAAATGCGTTGAACAGGTGGTAACCTTAACCATAGTATGTCGAAGAAGGTAAGAGAAAACGAAGTTTGAGTAGGTAACTCTTCTGATCCCAAAATGGGTGCTACCCTGAAAACCTCTACGATTTTCATGTTTTCTTGCATCTTGGTACAGATCTGAAATATATATATATATTATGAGAAAATTTTCCCTGGATCACATGCTATCACCTACTCAAACGTAGCCATAATGTTTTTTTAAATATAAAAAATTAGCACATAACTACAATATAAGTGGTAAAAAACACACATATATATAGACCATCTAAAATTTAACACATGCACCATATATGCGATCGATATTATCTTCTATGAAAATTATATATATATATAAATGCTAATAAATAATTTTAGAATACTAAGTAAAAAATTTAAAAATGAAATTTTTTATTAATGTCTTAATTAATATTTTTAAGACAATAATTTACCAGATTTTGTATATCTATAAATCTAGATAATATGATTATATATAAATAATTAATATTAAAAATTAATTAAGAGTTTTGTTAATTTTAGTCTTTAAGACTGAAAATAAACAACTAATAATAGTAAAATTTTATTAAAAAAAACATTTATTATACTTTTATAATTTTAATATAATAACTATGTATTTTTTTATAATTTTTTTTATTTGTGTATGTTTAAACTCAACTCTTAGAAATGAGGTTAACAAAACCTACTAATTAATAATCACATGCTTAATATTTAAAAAAGAAATGTATATTTTGTGTTTAAATATTTAAATAAAATTCAATAATTCATATTATTTTCATTCTTACAATAATTAAGTATTTTTATTTAAAATCATTATATATATAATATAATAGTTGATTTTAAAATTTATAGCAATTAGATAATATTGGAGATGAAAGAGAGGAAAATAAATAAAGAAAAACAAAAGTAACAATTAATTGAATAAATCTTTAAATTAGTCTGAATATTATAAGTATTTTTTTACCCCTTATATTTTAAATTTGTATTTAGTGTTTGATTTGATCAAAATAATTTATTTGAATTTGTATATTTTTAATAAAAATAAAGAATAAGGGGAGTGGTTTTTTTTTATAAAGTCATATTCGTGACTAATACGGACTCTATTTGGTCGGTGATCATATCCCACGGTTCCTATAATGTCAATGTTATTGTTATTATTTAATAAACTATGAAAGTAATTAGTAATGTGATTATTACTTCCAACAGCTGGTTGGGTGTGAAGAGCTGTTTTTTGTGCTTGGACAAATCCATCAAGGTACCAGATTAGATGCCATCTTCTTAATTAATAATTGTTATTATTTGTTTTCTTAAACTTTTGAGATTCGTGAGACCTGAAAATAACTAGCCTGTGAACCTTAATTATCATTAGAAAAAGGATTTGGACACGCTATGGTGTCCAATTTTTGTTTGGAGTGAAAGTGACAGATAAATTTATTATTAGATAATTTATCATAATGATGTCACCTTTTAAGTATGATACAATTTTTTAAAAATACTTTTATCTTCACTCCTTAGCTAAAGTTATAATGTTTATAATGGACAAGTTCTTTTTCGTTGGTACCTTTGGCTTTATGTATTTGATACATATTTTTTTTATTAGAGTTTTCTTTTTTAAGTCACAACTTGAATACATCGCATTTTAACTAACGATATTATTTTTCTATTATTCTTTAAATCAGCATATTACATTTCTGTTCGAACATGAATTTAAAAATACTTAAAACTATAAATTTAAAAATTATTTAAAATTATTAATTTAAAAATTTAAGATTATAAATTTTAAAAATATTTAAGATTATAAAATAAAATGTTAAATAAAAATAAATTTTAATTTTTAATTAATTCAATAAATAATAAAAAATAAAGAGTTAAATAATAAATTTTTAATTTTTAAACATACTAAAGTTATATGAGGCTTAATTTTTTTTACCACGTTAAATATTAATGATATTTATTTTCTTATCCAGTATATTTGTTCTCAAATTTTTCATTTCATTTTTAGCAACACAGAACAAATTCAAAAGCTATTGTTGGTTGCTAATCGTAAATGCATATTATATCACCATCTGTTGGTGCTGAGAACTTTTCTTAAGAAAGTCACGGACAACGTGCAGGAGAAAAAAAGAAAGTAAATTAAGTTTTTTTTTTTCCTTAACAGTTCGAAATAACAATTAGAAAGGAAAAATTGAAATTTTTTTAATTTAGTATTAATTATTATTAAGTTAATTTTAATTATTTTTTATATTCACAATTTAAAATTCATAATTTTAAATATTTTTAAATTTATATCACATATTAACACCTTAAAACATTTTTAGTGATAGAACTCAAATAATTTTTTAAATTTATTTTATATGGATTTCATAGTGTCACATGTATTTAAAGAACTTTCTTATTTTTTTACTTTAGTAATAAAATTAAAATTTGAGTTTTGAATTACTTTTTACAGATACTATTAAAATTATTATATTATTTATTTAAAATTAAATTAACAAATTTAAATTTTAGTTGAAAAAATACTTTAAAAAATTATTTTTTAAAAAATAACGTGATTCTTCTTGAATGCTCCTCTAATACAGACCACTTTTATTAATAATTAATGATAAAACTAATTTTAAGTTAAAAAGTCGTTACCAAACACTAACAATAAAGATGCTTTTACTCATATTCGCTTCTAATACATGACACAGAGATACTAAACCAAATACAAGTTTTTCCGTAAAAGCAGAGATATCACCCCAGAAATGAAATTCTCAGCCATTCAATTCTTAGAATTATTAGCTAATAAATTTATTATAAAACTATATATTATTTACTATTAATATAATGAAAAATTATCAATATCTATATATAAATTCTGAGTACTAACTCTTGAATGAAAACAATTTAGTATTGTTTTTAGCAATATTTAATATTTTCAGGGACTAGTTTTTTTTATTATGTCAAATATTTTTTATGTTGTTTTTTAATTTAAAAATTTTCATTTTTTATATTTTTATTACTAAATTAAAATATTTATATTAATAATTATAATACTTGGTTTTTAAACTTATAAAATTTAAGCTAATTATATAATTATTTTAATTATTTATTTAAAAAATCAATTTATTGATGTCGTGCGAGTATGTAATAAAAGTTGTAAACGATTTAATAAGTTTTATGGTTTATCCAAAAAGTTACAGGAAAGATGGTTTTGCATCTACTTTAGATAATACAAAAAACTTGTAATTAAAATAAATATAGAATTTAAATTTCGTGGAAAAATATAATTTTTAAAAATATATTTTGATAAAATTGTTATCGATGCATTTAATCAAATATTATTTTCGTAGAAATTATGTTTGAATTTTTTATTTGGATCTAATTTAAAGTTTTAAATAAAGCTGAATTGAAAACAAAATATTAATCTTGAAAAAAATCCTTTGTATTTCTTGATTAACATTCCATCTCGGCAATTATAGCACTGAAGCTCAAACCGCACGTAGTAAAGTTATTCAAAGTTGCTTTTTTGTATTGTGCTAGAAACTGAAAAGGCCATCATTTTCTTTCTAGTTCTTTATTGTTTTGATTAAACTACAATTTAAACAAAAAAAATATTTAATTTAACATTTTTACGCACCTTTATATTGTTGACTATTTTACTGTTCTGACTAAATTAAGACTTTGTACATGCAATTAAAAATATATAGTCTGTTTTCCAATATATTTTTGTAAATTAATATTGTTTTTGTATGTCTTTTTTTTGAGAAAAAACAGTGCTTGATTCAATGAATGATTACTGCAATTGATGAATGAATTACTCGAACACATCATTTGGTAAAAGTTATTATATTTAGTTTTATTAACTTTCACAGTGTAAATAAATATGAGAGAGAAATTTGTGTAAATGAATATGTTAAAAAATTAAACATATAAAAAAATGTGACGTTTAATATGCCACATATTCTATTATATATCATGCATAATGCAATTGCTTGATTAAAATGTGATAATGAATATATTTGAAAATAATAGTAGACTCTTGCTTTTTTAAAGACTTTAATCTTTTTTAGTAAATGATATTTATTTTCTTTCAATCTCTTTCACTTGACGGAAATTTGTTGGATTTTAAAATTCGTTTGAAACTCAGGGCCTCTAGCCTTGTCTCTCTCTCTCTCTCTCTGTTTATCATTTTTAATTCAAATATATTAGTAATTAGATAGAAGAGCCTTTAGACCTAGCAGCAAAGGTGTTCAATATCTATTTATTCTTAATGAGCATATTTCTTTATTAGATAATTATTATCATTCTTCAAAAACATACTAATCTTAAATTTAAAAAAAAGGCATACGAAAAAGAATATTAATGTTTAGAAAACAATATTAACCTGAATCAGATATCTAAACAAGAAAAGATTCATAAAAAAGATACCTTCACAAAATTGCATGAACAAATATTTACTTTAGTCAGAGAAGTAAGATAAGGGGTGATTCAATTTTCAATTGAAAATAATAAATGTAAATAACTTGTTTGAAGTGTAAATTAGACTGACAGAGTATTGGGCAACTTGGAGGGGAGTGGCCATCCCTTTTAGCACTTCTACCTTGACAATTATGACTTTGGGGTAGTAAATACATATTTCATTCACCTCTTTACATGTCTTGGAATTAAATCAAAATTGGATATGAAGAATCATTTATGGCATGTCTTTTAGTTAAACTAACTGATAGTTACAGTAGCTAGTTGAGTGTTAGGTGACTGTCTCCCTGCTAAACTTGGATAGAAGACCAGTTATCATGTATCTATCATATATGCACATACAAAGCTATTATCCTCTTTTATTTTGTTTTCTTATCTTTTCATATATGAAATAGTCAACTGCACCATGTAAAGAATTAAAGAGGAACAAAATTAGAGATGCTGGAGCACCAAGGGTGATTGAGAAATGAGTCTTATTATCCAGATTATTCATATAAGAAAAAGTAGTGTGTGACAATAACAATCATAAAGGCTTCCGAAAAAGGTACCTCATCAAGCATATCATATCAACCAAACATTTTAGACAATCAACAGCAACAATGTTTGAGAAACAGCAAGTAGATCTACCCAAGGGACTCAAGGCCACTGACAAAGAGAGAACCAAAAGCCTCCATTGCTGCTTTCTTGGACACAAAACTTATCTCAACCCCATCACCATTTCTGCTATCAGAAAAGCAAAATGCTCCAGTTCTGTCTATAGACCCCATCTCCACTTTCTTTGGTTTTCCCCAACCAAAGTCAATACTATAAGCCTCAAACCTGTTTGACCCAGCAACACCAATTATCATGACATCACCTATAAGACCATCAAGCAACCATGATGACCAATTTTCTGCTCCACTCAGTGCTCCTTCCTTCAGAGTTTCCAAAGCCTCAATCAGTGCTTCAACAGCAACAATTATTCCATCTTCCCCCAACAAATCTCTTGTTTCAGCACCTGCAAGTCTCACCCCAACACAGTTCCCAAAATATGATGGAGGAAGAGGTGGTTCTAAACGATTCCTGCAATCAACATTCAAAGCCAACATAACTCTTTTCTCCTTCACTTCTTCTGCTTTCACTCTACAAACCCATGCATAGGCAACAGATACCACATATGTTGACAAGTGAATGTTGCTGTTCCCTTTCTTCTTGGACACTGCAAATTGCTTGAGCTTTTCAATGTCTGAACGTGACAATTGAAATGAGCCTCTTATTGCATCTTCTGGAACTTGCAGATCCCAAACCATGAGACTTCTGTTGTTGGGTCCACCATTCTTTAACCAATCACCGACATATTTTGCACTTATTTCATTGGGGTCTTTGATTAATTCCCTTCCATAGAATGGACAAAGTTGAGGGGTCAAAGAAGGGGTTGATTCTCCAAGATTGCTGCAAAGATAAGCCCATGATTTGATAAACGATGTTGAAGTTTTGCCATCAAGAATAGCATGGTGTGAAGTGATTCCAATGGAAAACCCAGTGTTTGGAAATAAAGTGACTTGCAAGGCCACAACCGTAGCTTGTTCATGGGATATGGTCAGGTGAGGTAAAAGATGGTGAATTTCTTTAGCTTCATAAAGATCCGTGCCAGCTAGATGGTTGAAATCAGCGTCAGATTCAGCAACAGTGAGGGAAACAGTGTCACCATTGTTGTATTTGATGATGGGATTGTTGGGGTCAACGGGCCAAGAGAGGTGTCCAGCAAGAGGGAAGAAGTAACCAAGTGTAAGAGCAAGAGAGTGGCTGAGTTTGGGAAGAAGGGTACTGAAAAAAAGTGAGGGTGGGTGAGGAAATTCATAGAAAAAAACGCGTTGAACAGGTGGTAACCTTAACCATAGTATGTCGAAGAAGGTAAGGGGAAGTGATGTTTGAGTAGGTAACTCTTCTGATGCAGAAGTTGGTTTTACACTGAAATCCTCTACGATTTTCATGTTTCGTATAAACAAGAAAAATTGCTGGAGCAGGTTGTTCTGTCTCTGGTTTCTCTGATCTGAAGATGAAAATGTTTTAAAGAAAAAATTGATACAACATAAAAAATGGTTCAATGAAAGTTAAAAAATTTCCCAGCAATCCAGCATTGTTCGTATTTCGTACATATTTTTGGATTTGGATTCGGATTCTCTAACTTTATTAAGTCACTCAATTTGGATAACTTTAGATCATTGATTTAAAATTCAATGATCCACATTTTTTCATGTGTTCAGAGTTGTTCTTTTAACAAAATAAGTATGGTGAAATTATGATAATTAAACTCAAAATCAATGATCGAAAAGCAGCTGCAATAAAAGAACGTAATCCGTACAAATTCAATTACAACCACAAATCGTGTCTCGTATATCTACCAATTTGTTTGGTTCAATTATTATATCTACCACTCTAAAAGAAGGACGTTATTGAAGGTGTGGACATGGGTTGGCCTGGCCTTTTCTTTTTTAACTTTAGTCAAAATCTTCCTAAAAGGTACACTGTCTTGGTCCCATTTTTGAACGTGGGCTGTATATGCTAGCTAGCTTGTTTATGGGTCCGAGTTAGTAAAAGTGGGTTTGTCAAAAAAACAAAAAATTATAGGAATAAAAAGCAGTAAAAATTATAAATTAAGTTGAGAATATGTTAATGAGTAATGTGCCGTCCATTATTGTCAACAATAATTAATTATTAGTGTGACTCTTTTAGTGTTTATAACACAAATTTGTAATTTACTAATTTGACCAATAATTTAATAGAGTTATTTAGTAAATAAAAAATGTTAATAACTTTTTTTTTAAAAAATTAACTGAAGTAGTGTTTAGTTTTTAAATCCTAGTTATTAGTAATTTATTTTTTATTTTACCCTTAATTTGAATTTTTATTATATAATTAATTAATCAATAATAAATAAATATCTAATCAGTTGATTGATAAGAAAATAAATAAATAATTATTTAATTAAAATTTTAACAATAAATAATTAAGTAAATTTAGTAACATTTAATCCTTATATTATATTAATATCATATTATATGTTTTCTAATTATTTAATATATTTTAATTAGTTGTCTAATTAATTCCATTAAACAATTTTAATTTTATCAATTAGCTATACAACTATAAATTTTAAGTTAATTTTACAATTATGAAAAAGAAAAAATAACAAAAGTTTTTTTGCATATAAATTTGGCTCTTGAAGATTACCTTTATTCGTTGTTTCACGGAGTTGACAAAACTTGGCTCTTTTTTTATATATAGTTTTTTTTTTAAATTCACAAAATATAGAATTTTTAATGAAATTACGAAAATATAGTTTTTTAAAAAATTGCCAATTGCCAATTAAACTGTCAATAGGACTTTTGGTGTACTTTTTTAATTTTTAATTATTTTTAAAAAAATGTCATTAATAATTTTTAATTTTTAATATTTTTTAAAAATCGTTATTGATAACTTTTAAAATTTTATCACTTCTTTGATCTTTAATTTCTAAATTTCTATATACTAGCGATTTTTAAACTTTATATTTTTATAATTTTTTTAAAAAAACTATATATATAATTTATTTTAAAAATAATCTGACAAAACTCACACTGTCTAAAACAAATACATTTTACTTAGACCTGAAATTTTGGTTCTTACAGGAGTCAATAGTTCCCGTTTCTTTTAAAATTATAAAAACTAATTTTCAGGTTTTTAATAAAAAGATATATTTTTTTGAAAATTTTATATTGTATGTTTAAATAATATCTAATAAATATTAATAATTGAGCAAATTTAATATTTATTGTTATCTAATTTAGTTAACTATTAATATTTATATTTTAATACTAATTTTTTAGTTGTTTTGCTAAAAAGTATTTATTTAATAAAATAATTCAACTCCAATTAAACAGTAGACAATTTTAAAAATTTGAAATCATTATCTACAATGAGATATTTCAGAAGAAAAATTGTGGTATAAATAACTTCAAAAAAACAAATTCTAAACTTTCAATGATTTTAAAGGATTTGACATGAACAAAACATTTCAGATCATAAGCAACAGCGATACATGATTGTCAAACAATTGAATTCATACACCAACAAAACAAAAAATTAATGAATAAAAGTATTTATAACAATTTAATAATTTAGAACTTTTCAATATTTTTTAATTAAAACTATAATTTTACTTGTGTAACAAAGATTGACAGCAGAAGTCAGTAATAAATACTAAAGTAAAACTGCAGTTTTAACAAAAAAATAAAAAATAAAAATTAAAACATAGGATGATAACTTGAGTACCTAAATTTTCTCTAGGTTTTATTGATGTAAAGCCACTATTAGATCTTACCCAAAGGGACTCAAAATTCAAGGCCATTGACAAAAATAGAAGCAAAGGATTCTATTGCTGCTTTCTTGGACACAAAACCTATCTCAACCCCATCACCATTTAGACTATCGGAAAGACAAAATGCTGTAGTTTTATCAATAGACACCATCTCCACCTTCTTTGGTCTTCCCCAACCAAAGTCACTACTATAAACCTCAAACCTGGGTGACCCAGCAATGCCAATTATCTTCACATCATTGGTAAGACCATCAAGCACCATTGAAGACCAATTTTCTGCTCCATTCAACACTCCATCCTTCAGAGTTTCCAAAGCCTCACTCAGTGTTTCCACAGCCACAATTAGTCCATCTTCCCCTAACAATTCACTTGTTTCAGCACTTGGAAATCTTTCTCCAACACAGTTCCCAAAATATGTTGCAGAAAGAGGTGGATCTAAACGACTCCTGCAATCAACATTCAAACCTAGCATAACTCTTTTCTCCTTCACTTCCTCAGCTTTCAGTCTGCAAACCCATGCATAGGCAACAGTTACCAAATACGTTGACAATTGAATTTTGTTGTTCCCTTTCTTCTTGGACACTACAAATTGTTTGAGCTTTTCAATATCTGAACGTGACAATTGAAATACGCCTCTAGTTGCGTCTTCTGGAACTTTCAGATCCCAAGCCATGAGGCTTCTGTTGTTGGGTCCACCATTCTTTAACCAATCACGGACATATTTTGCAGCTATTTCATTGGGGTCTTTTATTAATTCCCTTCCATAGAATGGACAAAGTTGAGGTGGCAAAGAAGGGGTTGATTCTCCTAAGTTTCTGCAAAGATAAGCCCATGATTTGACAAACGATGTTGAAGTTTGGCCATCTAGAACAGCATGGTGTGAAGTGATTCCAATGGAAAATCCAGTGTTTGGAAATAAAGTGACTTGAAAGGCCACAACCGTAGCTTGTTCATGGGATATGGTCAGGTGAGGTAAAAGATGGTGAATTTCTTTAGCTTCACAAAGATCCGTGCCAGCTAGATGGTTGAAATCAGCATCAGATTCAGCAACAGTGAGGGAAACAGTGTCACCATTGTCGTACTTGATTATGGGTTTGTTGGAATCAATGGGCCAAGTGAGGTGTCCAACAAGAGGGAAGAAGTAGCCAAGTGCAAGAGCAAGAGAGTGTTTGAGTTTGGGAAGAAGGGTATCGAAGAAGAGTGCGGTTGGATGAAGAAATTCATAGAAGAAAACGCGTTGAACAGGTGGTAACCTTAACCATAGTATGTCGAAGAAGGTAAGGGGAAGTGATGTTTGAGTAGGCAACTCTTCTGATGCAGAAGTTGGTTTTACACTGAAAACCTCTACGATTTTCATGGGTTCTTGAAGCTTGGTAGAAACAAGGAAAAACGAAAAGCAGGTGGTTATGGTTCTCGTTTCTTTGACCTGGTGATAACTCTGCCCCACTGCTTTTGATGATGAAAATGTTTTAGGTATGAAAATTAAGCACGGTGACGCAAATAGTAGAAATAAAATTGCAACGAATTCAAAATTGATGATGAATGAGACACAGATAAGGAAACTGTGGTCTAAAAATTTTAACAGATAACCTTCATTGGGTTTTCGTAGAAATATTTTCATACAGACCACCGTGATTCGAACAATGCACTAGATTTCTTTTGTTCTCTTTCTCGATCCCTCTCTTTATTTTGTAATATCTGTTTTAATGTTACTGTGCATAATTAATTATTGAGTAATATTTTTTCCTACTCAAATTTCCTCAATCAATATTAAGCATAACAGGATATTTATATATTACCAATAAAATGTTCTATTATCAATTAAACAAATTTTGAGTTTCTTTAAAATTAAAAACATTCAGATGCATGCGTTTTACTTTTTTTAAAATCAATCTTTTAAATGTTTTTAAATTTATATTTTTTAAAATTTTATCTATAATTAAGAGACTCGTATAACGCACTAGATACTTACCACCTATTTATTTTCGTGTACATTTTTCTTCATCATACTATATATCAAGTGATTTATTGTGTCATACTTGATAGCTATTAGCCCTACAAAAATTATCAAATAACAAAGCTGAAAAAAGCCTTTGTAGTAAGGACACTACTATGGTCTTCTTTCGGAGGTCAATAATATAAGCGATCAATCAAATAAGAGTAATGAGGAAGGTTAAATGTGAATTGCGAGAATATTGAAATGTAACCAACAATTTTTAGAAAAAGCAATCAATCCAATAGAATTAGTTATCCTTTGACATAATCAATCTATATGTTTGGAAGTTAATTAAAAGATAAAATAAAAAAATGGATTGAAGGAGAGGAAGCCTTACTCTTGTTTAGGAGTCACCTAATATATGAAACTAAAGAAATGGAGTAGACATATAAATGTGCGTTATTACCCGTCTTTTCTTCTTCTTTTTTATAAATAATTCAGGATTCTTTTTCCTTTGCAACCTCAATCCACTGTGCTTTCTCTAAAGAACCCAGAACTTGATAAATGCAAAAAGGAAATCATTCTGAACACAAAATTTGGAAAGAAAAGAAAACTATCAAGACTTTGGTAATCGAAGTGCAAAGAAGTTTTTTTTTTATCAATTATTTACTAATCAAAATTCAAAAATCAAAATTTCTTGTTAGTGAAGGTGCTAGTGACAAAAACCAAAATCTACTTTGTATTGAAATTATATTTTGTAGGCAGTAACCAAATTATCTTTATCAGAACATCCAAGCTTAACGAGAGGGACAAATTCATGGTTATGTTTGGTCATATCCATGTTTAGATGACAAATCTTGCTAAATGCAACTTCACATTAGTCATCAATCCCATGAGCAACTATTTTCATTGTCAACTATGACATCAACATGAGACTTGTTTTCTGCAATAAAGTGTTAAGGTTGATATTCGATCGTGTAAAATCTTTTTTATTTGTTCTTCTTGTTGGATATCTTACTGGTAGTTGACTAAATAACTAATATTAAATTTTTTATTTTTGTTTGTGGTTATTTCAACCTAATGTTAAAATCTTTTTATTTAACAGCTATTGCATAAAATTGACGTTAAACTCTTTATTTTTTTTTAACAATTATCTTCAACTGATGTTAAATTCTTTATTTTTGTTGGTGATTGTTAAAATTTTATGTTATGTTTTATCTATAACACATATATAGCCAATCCTTTGTTTTTTTCAGTTGAAATGGATTATGCATGTTAATTATCAAGTTTGTGTATAAGGCATGTGTACTTTGTGAGGTAAATAGTGTCCTTGACGTGAATCAGATGCGGGCTAAGATGGGATAACACACTTTAGGAAAGATCAGGTTATTGCAAAAACAAGCGTAAAGAAAATTGTGTCATATGAAATTATTTTTATTATCCTTCTCATGTGTTTAATTTTTAACCGAATTCACAACGTCATGATTGCGTCTTGATAGTATAATACTTTGTTATTGTTGTACCCTTCTATTGTTTCAGGATCTACTTCACATCTACATTTAATTGTTAAACTTTAAGTATTGTGGTAATATGTTCTATTAATTTTGAATTAAACTACTATTGAAAATGATCTCAACCATTAATTTATGTTAAATATTAGTAGTTTATTTTTTATTTTAAATATTTTTCTGTTCCTCCTTTTCTGATTTTTTTTTTCAGTTATCTTGTTTTAATTTCCATGTGCATGCAAGGAAGAGGATGAATAGAAAAATATGGGCGTCAGAAATATATTTTTTAATACACTATTTTTATGACACATTCTTAATTAATAATTAAAATTTATTAAAAATTAAAAAAGTATGAGTGAGAATTTTAAATTAAGAGTGAGAAAAAAAGTAAAATTTACATTATTTTTGTAAATTTCCATACATATTAATCAATTATTAAAAATGTGTTAAAAACATTTTTCATTAAAAGATTAGCTCAAAACAAAGGGGAGTAATGGTACAAAATATATTTTATGGTATAGAATGAGCATGATATGACATTCATGTAATGGCATGTGATTATCTGTGCTCTGTTTCCATAATGTTTGCAAAATTGTCAAGGATATGGGATGGAGTGGAAGCCAAGGGGTGACATAGAATTTGATAGTGTAGATATTGCCCAAAAACTTTGTAATTCTATCAGTTTCAGGCTTTCATGTTAACAAATTTGTTTATCGGCTATTATGAGCATAATGGAGCAATTCAAAACAATCAGCATATATAATTATATGAGTTTTATGATAGCAAGGCAATTATTTGTCAGAGGATTAAAATAGTTAATGCATATGCTATATATGATGAGTTGATGATCCTTTAAACAAGTAAAAAAGTCAGAGGATTGATCTTTTAAGTTGTGAATGGAATTTTCAAGGTTAAAAAATTTCTCAAACTAATGTGTACACTTTCACTTATAATATCTATCTCAATTGGAAAATTTGTGCTGGGCCAACTACCGTAACACATTCTGCTACAGGCAACTTGCAGTTTCAAGAAATATATTGAAGAAACCGTAATAAATATTAATACCTATTAACTATGAATGTTGTTTTCATTTTCTATATTTTTTTTATTTCTATATATGTGTGTAATTATTTACTTTTAAAAAATATATTTAAGAAAAATATGTCAAAATGTTGCCAACATGTTACTAGGATTCATTTATCCGTAAACATAAAGGTGAGCCGACAAAGCAAAGGGCATGCGTATGGTCCGACATTGCATGGAAGAAGAGACAACCAGTGACACATGTCCCAACAACTTAATCACTTGTTCTACTCAATCTCATGTCTTTTATTTTTCTCTTCGTTGCCTGAAAATTTCTGTCAGATTATTCTGGAATTATATAATCCCACATGGCGTCTGTAATTGTTGAAGTTTAATTAAATTCGTAATCTGTTCATGTAAATTCTTGTTATGAGAGATATTTTTATGATTCTTAATATAAGATCTTTTATTAAGTTTAAGGGATATTTGTTATTATTTTTATATATTGGACCTAAACATTAACCATCAATATACTAATAAAGATTGACTTTAATTAAAGATAAATCTAAAATATAGTAATTAATTTTTTAAAATTTAATTCATTAATTAATTCTTATAGTTTTCTTATTGTGTATATTTTAGTTGAAAGAATTTTATAAAAAAATTGAAGATATTACTGATAATTTATCCTCTTAATTTAATATTTCTTACTTAGCTTAATAGTTTACAATAATTTTAATCAATGATAAAAATGCATTGAAAAATTATATTTAAAAAATATACTTTTTTATGTTAATTGAATTATGATACCCTATTTTTTTAACCAACAAATAAATAATTTATTCATATAAGAAGTATCAGTACTCAAATACATAAAGACAGCAAAACAATGTTATTGTATACTGTGAAAACTGTTGAGTGTTGCCTTGGAAGAATTAATTTTTAGTTGAGAGCCTACAACATTTACACATTAAAAATAGGTGTGTATGTTTTGTTGTGGTCTCTTCCACATTCTTTTGAAAATTTGGTTCTTACATGTTGTCAAACTTTTCTTTTTTATGTTTGGGGTGAAATACAAATTGACAATCTTTATACTTATGTTTGACAAATGATGATTGTAATAAATATCATAGTTATTTATTCATCTATTTAATTCAAACTGCTTTTTACTTAAAACCCTCAATATTCAAAAGTCATATTAATTAAATTTGATTTATTCAAATCGAGTAAAAAACAAAGCTATTTAAAAACAAAACTCTTTCTATACTTTTTTTTTTCTGTTTACAGGATTCACCTAAATTCTTATTTAATTAAGGAGAACTGAGCTCCTACTTAAAGTAATAGGCGTTGGTAAGCAAATTTAAAATCTATATGCATAAAATTAAAGTTGGTTCTTTCAAGCATGTAATTTAGTGCAACTTCTACAGTGAGGAACAAGACACGCGCTCAACCACTACAATATTAATTGACTAGTCCAAACAAAATATTAGATCCACAACACTTTACTTTATGTATTGATTGATTGAAGCACTGATACTGAACGCATTGATGATCATTTAACATAAACTTTTCATTCACACGATAGGTCTAAATATTCCCAAGCAGGTTAAGGAAGTAGCTTCGGTGTTGAACTTGTCGATCTCTGCGCATCTCATCACATTTTGTTTATGTTTTATTATATTTTTTAGTGCTTCATTGTTTTTAGCCTATTGCTACTTGCGGGGAGACTTGGCTTTCCATCGTCGAAAAAATTTGACAGCAAAAACTTCTTTGAACACAGTAAAATATTGAATAATTGTTTTTGGCGTGTCAAATTTGTGGTCTAGACCACAATATGATTTTTCAAACTCTTAATTTGACAGCTTTTCACTTTTGTGCCTATTTGTATCAATGTATATATTTTAACAAAATGTTTTTTAAACAATTTTAATGGACAACTTTTAGTTATCTTCTTTATTTTGTGTATTCTTGAGATATTATAAATATAAAAAAGATACAAAAAATAATCATATACTACTCAATTATCTGGTTTTTAGAAAAACATATCAAGAGTAATTTTGGAGTCTTGCGTGGCTGTTACACTATTTTAATATAAGACTCATAAAACTCCTTTCATTCTTACCATTCAGTGGCATAGATCAAGGATCTTAGCTTTTCGCACAAAATGATTTCCCACTTAATATATATCCTTATCACAGTGATCCAGTTTTCTTTACTTTCTAGCTTGCTTAACTTAATTATATTTTGGCGTTTCCCGGTAACATATTCGTTTTGAACGCGTGATTCTTTAGCGATAGCGATTGGCATTGAAATTTATGTGTCATTATTGGAGTGGCGGTGGTTTGGTCCAAGAGGTTCGGCAACTGTTGTTTCAAAGAAGTTACTATCCCAAGTTGAATTCTGGTGGAATAATTTTTCTCAGTCCCTCTCACCCAACACTAGGACCAGAATTTGTGCCAAAAAGGCTCATTGAATTAACATCGTAATTAACTGTTTGCTATTGAGATAATGAAACCTGGCCAGCCAAACTGGACCTTATTGCTTAAAAGCTTTGTATCAAGAGTATGATTTGATGTACTTGTTTTTTATTTTTTTTAAAAGCTATAAGTATCCTCTATTTGAATTGATATGATAATATTCTCTATTTAACATAATTTGAATTTAAAATTACAAATTAAACTAAAATAATTCTTCTTAGATGATTTACCTGTTTGTATTTATTGAAATTTGAATTCAAAATTATAAATTAAGATGAAACAATTCCTACCAAATAATCAACATGTTTGGTGGTGATAACTATTTATTTAAAAGCATTTATTTTAATAATTTTTAAATAATTTTTTATAAATTTAATAATAAAATTTATTGAGATAAACTGAAAATAATTTATTTTGATATTTATACAAAAAAAAAAACTTATTAAAATAAGTTATAATAATTTATGGGCATCATGGACTACTTTATGCAAGTGGTTTATAAGTTTTTTCAAACAAGTCCTTAAATTACAATTACAATTACAATTCAGTTCAAGCTTTGCTTACTCATGTCAATGGTCATAGCTAGCTTCTATATTGCAAATTGGTCACGACTCACAAAGTACTCGATCGATTAAAATTTATGTGAGCGCTTAAACTAAGCTACAAAAAATAATTCCAACAAAAACTTAATAGAGACAACCAAAAAGAAGATGTTGCAGACAATACTGCTGCTGTTGCTTCTGATGCATTAAAAAGTGAGAGTGATTAGTCACGAGCTCTGATCTAGGGCTTCTGTTAGGAATCTGGGGACCATTTTTTGGATCGTAACATTAACCTTACCCACAAACCAGGTATTAGTCTGTTTTGTCAGTTTTTCTGATAAAAGTTCACTGTATTATAGCCTTAGATGCAAGCCCTACTCAGTTTTCTTTAAACCCTTTGCTATAGTTTAAAGAATATATATAAAATCTTTTTCCTTTCTCCTTCCACAAAGGAGTGGGAACTTCTTCGTTTTGGTCTTTCTTTCAACCTTCATCCTTTTATTCATATTTTTGTTCGTTTTCTTCATACTTCTTATCCTCTATTTTGTTTTATTCTTTGTTTTCAAATTAATGGAGTGTATGTATGGTATGCAAAATGAACATTCTGCTGTTTGCACTGCAAAACTGGAGAGCATTTTACTCTATTAAATCATTGTACTTTGGTAGTTTAGTGATTTTTTTTAAAAAAATTTCTCGATGATTTACGAACCAAGGTTCTCACAGTGGGTGCAATGATATTTACTCAATTTCTTCGTTAGTGTTAATTTTTGGTAGGACTATTTAACGGCTAATATATAGTTCTTCAGCATTTTAGGTTTGCAAGGGTATCCAACTCTTACAGATAAATCACTCTCATAATCCAGGATGCTTTAATTCTTGTTTTTGTTTTTCTTTTTGGTAATTATGCGTGTGACGAAAAGGAATTAGGGGCATAGAGTCACTTTTCTTTGTTCTTTTTGTAGAATAAAAAGAAGGGCCCGTTTTTTTTCTTGAAAATCAAAGAAAATTGTATCTTTTGGAATAATAGATGTCTCTTTTTAATTTTTTTTCATGCTTTTACAATTCTAAGTTATATATGCATAAAAGAAGATATTTGTTTAGGGGATTTAAGAACTTCTCCAAAATTCGTAGTTTGAATTTGTTAAGTGTACCATTGTGCTTGATTAAAGTATTTCTGTCCATTCAAGAGAAATCAGGTTAGTTTGCTGCATGTGTCATGGTTTCTCCTTGCTTGTTTGGTTGAGAGCACGTTTAGATTCAAGTTTGAATGAATATAGATCTATGTTTATTTAAACACTACTAATTGTAACTTCTGGATTGAATTGAATTGATGTTTACAATTTTTTCGAACATGCATACCGAATTGATCCACTGTAACAGAACAAGAGGGTTTTCACTTGAGTGTCACAATTTAGGGTTTTGAATTGAAGGGTATGTGAATTCCTAGGGTAAAAGCATATTTGGTGTCATTGGCAAATGAAAGATAAGGAACCTTGCTTACGTTTCCTCATCTTACACATGATTAATTGACTTTGTTTTGAAGAAAGCATGCGTCATGCGGTTAATAACCATGTCAGTGTCAGCTCAATGAAAAGCCTCAACTTGCCCCCCATGCATATCTCTCTGCAAAAGTTGTGTGGTCCTGTTGTGCTCAGTGGGTGTACGTTTCAAAAGCTATATCATAACATAATTGGTCCCTCACCTATCAGTACCTTTCCCCTTCTCCGAAGTAGCTATCATACACACAGACATGACAATGCTCTTGGACTTGCCACCACAACTTTTGAGTCTCTCTATTTGGGTTATCTAAAGTGAATTTCTCTGTTTGTCTTCTAAATCCTCTCATGTGATGCCTTCGTGTGTTTATGTTTTATCTCAGTTTTTTCTTCTTTTACCGTTTCATTTTATTTTTGAGCCAAGAATAAAAAACACACACTCCCTAATATAATAACTGAAGAAAAAAACAGTAAATTTGCCCCCAAGAAAACTTCTATTAACAGTGTGTTTGGTTTCACCATAGAATATACATGAATTAATATTTTTTTAACGTTGTTGGTTATAATTTTTGCATTAAAATTCATACTTTCTAACATGTTTTTAAAGCTGTAATCTTTTAAGTTGTTTGTCCAAATTTCATGATTGGTGAAAAACCATTAAGGATTTATATGTCAATACTTTGTCTATATTCATTTAAGATTAACATACCATGTCATTTGATTCATAGAATCAATATTTGCACTTTATACTAGTAGAGAAGGCCTAGTACGTTGTTGTTTATTCAAATTTTGATTGATCAATGATTTTTTAAGGTTTTCAAGTTGAAGACCCTAAGAATACGTTATATATAATGAACTTCTCATGTATTAACAAGGGCATGGAGATGTCAGTTAAAAATGCTATGCTCTTAATAAGAACAACATTACACTTAAATGCTGTTTTGGCTTGCTTCCGTGGATCCCCATGTGATGTGCTCAGTCACAAAACCTTTTGTAGTTGTCGATAAAGTGTCACTAGCCGCTTTTCGAAGTGTGTAGTAATGGTCCCCTTTTGAGGTTAACTGTGCTCATTCCATTAAGCCTTCTATTATATTGATAATCCAATGTTGTTTTCTCATGGCCCAAACATACAGAAAAATCTTTTGAACAGATGAATTCTAGCCTTTCTTTTTTAACAAAAACTAAGATAGTATAGTAACAAAATAATCAATTAATGTGCGCCAAAGTTGTTCAATTTCCCCCCAAATTGAATACTCAAAGCTTGTGAGAACAAAATATCAGGATATATGATCCATATATAATTAACAGCTATATAATAAAGGAAATGATTATTGCCCATTATGCCTGACCATAAAATGATAAGACGTAGACTACCATATTTATTTGACCAATAGGGATGCGTGCCACGTGGCAATCCATGCGCCATTGCTTTATCTTTCAGTGCGGCGTGGTTAGTTCAATTCCGGCATCTTCCTTTTCCAACCTGCGGGGCTCAACTCTACACCAAGTTTATTCAGTGCAACCGCAAAGTCATGCCATGGTTAATTGAAAACTTCAAATTTTGATCTAGCTTTGTATCCCAAGTCACAGTGCAAGCTTCATCCTTCTACCTTATGTTGCTTTGCATCACATAGTGGTAGGTGTTTATATGAGTTTGCCAGATATACTATATATCTTTTCAACTATCAGTAGGGTTTGCATTTATATATTCAATTCTAATTACATGTTTCAGATGTTATTGAACTTATTCTAATATTGTATATTATTGTTACTCGGGGGGTTTTGACTTTGATGTCGTCTTTCCTTTTGTTAAGTGGTATTAAATTGCTGGAATTGTTTGTGTATAATAATGACATAGCCATGTTTTTCAATGTTTTATAATAGTTATTTGCGAACTGAATTAGACACTTATTCTTAAGTTTTTTTTTATTAATATTCTTTAATTCTCTCAAAATGACCTTTATATGATATTATTTAATAATATCTAGTAGCTGCTGCAAGTCACCAATCTGTTTCATCTGTTCTTATTATAAATACATTTCAGAGGGAAAGATGCGCAACATGAATTTTAAATATTAATTACACAGGAATTCATTCAACAGTTTTAAATTCAATAAATTTCATGAACGAGTAGATTTCCACCCATTTCCTATTATTTTTATTTCATGTGGTTCTGATGCAGGAGAGACAACCAGAAAAATCCAAACAGTGGATTTAAAAATTCAGCAGTTTCACAGTTGATTGTGGAACAGAATTTGACAATCGGAAAGTAGAAGGACAAAACTCTGCACCTGTCAGCCAACAATGAGAGACATGATATCATGATTAAGAGCCCAAAAGAAGCAGATTTCCCATTAAAACAAGAGGGTCATTCTCATTCAAGTGATCATGAAAAAACAAAGACTTCATCAAGCTCAGCACAATGGCCAAGATTGAAGAATCCAAGGATTGTTAGAGTATCTAAAGCCTTTGGAGGAAAAGATAGGCATAGCAAGGTTTGCACAATAAGAGGGTTAAGAGACAGGCGTGTGAGGCTATCAGTACCGACTGCCATCCAACTCTACGATCTGCAAGATAGGCTAGGGCTCAGTCAACCTAGCAAGGTTATTGATTGGTTGCTCAATGCAGCTAAGAATGAAATTGATGAACTTCCACCACTACCCAATATTCCACAAGTGAATAACTTCACCCTTGGTTATCCATCTGCTGTTACTTCAAATGAAGCTAGCTCCTCTCATTCTCAGCCTAATGAACAACTGTTTAATATTAATAGGAGCATTCAGTATTGGGAAGGTCCAAGCCAAAATTCTTTATGGAAATTAAAGCCTAAAGTTTCAGGAGAAGTGATTAGCACTGAAAAAGAAAATTGGGCAAATAGAAGTGTGGAGGATAAGCAAGAAGCCATTGAAGGTCCTAATGCACATGTTTTGCCAAACAATCTCTTATCAAGAGCAAACCATCCTTCATTCTTGGGCTTGCTAAATACTATGCCACATGGTTACCATTGGGAGCTTTCTAGTGGTGATGTTTCTCATCAGTTGGGAAACAATGGATTTACAAACCAAACAGACATACACAATACTAACATTGTACCTTTCCCATCAACATTGTCTTTATCAACTGGGAATTCTCAAATTCTGGTCTGTCCTCCAGGAGCAACACAACCATATTTCCCTTCACATGTTACAGCAATGGACATGGATCCCAGACAAATCAACCACTATCAGATGTTGAATTCAAGTTCTCAAAATCCATTGACAAATTCTCTCAATCATTCCTTCTGCTTAGCTATGATGACTCATAAGTCTCTCCATTCATCCAACAGCAGCAAAAGCCCATCCCAAAAAGACCAAGAGTTCCCTCCCAAATAATACACAAAATACAAAGTTTATCTAAATTCTACCCCCTCTCAAAATATGCTTGGAGCATGAAGTCAGTGAGAAAGCTTCTTCAATCAGAAGATATTCCGCGTTATGGCAGGGTTTGAATAATCATTTTGTTTGTGAAGCATGTTTGGATTTCCTTCTATTTCTTTCCATCTTAGGTAACCCTTAAATTTCCCCCTTTTTTTTTTCCATCTTATATTACATGAAATTAACGGTATCATGAATGGCTTTCTAAGAGTGTAAGAGTTTTTCCTTCAAAGTGATAATGAGTTTCTTAACTAAGAGAATACAAGTAGTGTAGATCTTCTCACTTTCTCGTATACAATGAGAATTGTCATGCTTAGAGAACACATGTACACAGCTTTCAGAATGTATGTCTTTTCTTTTTATTATTATTTTTCAACCTTGTTTGTGTTGTTATTCCATGAGAAGAAATATAAGAAAAGACAATGCCTAATTTCTTGCTCATGTGCGGTGGCCAGCACATCAAGCATAGGTTATTGTCTCAAAACCATGAATGAGACTTTCCCCGCCAGTCACAAAAAGGTGACACATGAAAATTACATTTCCCTGAAATTATTGCACAAAGCAAGGAAATTCAAAGAGAAGATTGGTCTGCATGAATAGGGAATACTTTGATATTAATCGCATTATGTAGTGCTACGTACTTTAAAGAAAACTGCAAAGACGATAAGATCAGTACTTACACCTTCTGTATACTGTCGAGGAATAAAGTTTAGGCAATGCTAGTCTTTTCGAAAAAAGTCAACTTGCATGAAAATAGGATGAAAGGATAAAGTATTAAGAAAATATGATATAAGTCAAAGGATAAAAAACAGAATACATGACGTGTGTTATGGCTAAGCATTGCTTTCTTTAGATTATGGTGAAAATATGGTTTACAAAACCCCTTACCTTAGGTTATTTCCACAAACATTTGCTCTTTTGTTATTTCAAAATAGGTGATTATGTGACAGGTATCACATAAGTGCTCCTTAATATCCTTTGTGTACACTTACAGTTTAATAGTTTATTGATTGTAAAATACGCTGTTTATCACTTTACTGGTAGTTGTATGAAAATAAAACAAAATCAATTTAGTAGGAACTAAATGATAGTTTAAAGCGAACCATAAAAGAAGACAGAATAATTTATAGAAAGATATTATGAGTAACTATTGTTATTTGCCCGTGGTGAGGAACAGCGATGAATTTTTTTAAATAAAATCAACATTTAAAGAAAAATTGTTGATTTCTTCTGTTATAAATAGGTACTTCTGATCCTGAAATTAATCTTTAACTCTTGAGAAAATTCACATTCACCTTAAAACTAAAGAAATTAATGTTAATTTTAAACGGTTTAAAAAATTTGAAAATAATTAATTTTACTATACATTCATGAAAGAAGTCACACTGCATAAAGAGAGCTTGTGAAGAATAATATTTTTTAACAACACTTTTTATATCAGAAAGAGATAGAAAGATAAGAAATAAAATATAAAATAAGAAAAAAGGAATATGATAGAGAGATAAAAAAACGTTGTAGAGATTTTAAGCGAGAATAATATTACCAAAGGTAAAAGAATTCATATAATTCAATCTCAAACCATTATGGGACATCCGACACTCGTTTTGATATTTTTTCTTTTTAGTAAAAAAAATGTTGTAGGTAGAAAATGTTTCCTGCCAGAGTCCACCACTCCTTGAAATTCTTGAGTGAGTTTCATGTCTTTAGGTGTGTTGTCAAGTTTCTATAAACTCTAAGACGTTATTTTGAGATAATGAATTTTATTATTGGAGCATATACAGTGCTAACGAATAATTTTATTATTATTAAAAACTTATATATAGCATCACTATATCATATTGCTAAAATATATATTAATTAACCTATTTTTAGTATAGACTTATAATAGTTATACTAACAATTTAATTTTTTGGAACAAATATTAAATTATTAATGGAAGTTAATCAAATGATAATTTTTTTAGTAATTAAATTTGTTAGTTAATTATCTCTTAAAATGATTATTTATCTATACATATAAGGTGCATTTATTTGGAAAAATAGTTTTTAATGATACAAGAAGTATTAGAGACTATCATGCACATTAGATGTACAAAAATGAAAAATGTCAGTATACCAATTTACTTAAATTATGAAGTGGTTTGGAAAGTTTATTTGAAGCTTTGAAAATGCCATACTTAAATTGGCAAATTTAGAAGTTAAATGTGATTATTTAAAAATCACCTATCATTGGGAGTGTGAAGTAATTAGTGAAAACATGTTTTAATATGATTACTTAATGTAATATCTAACTACTTAAATAAATTTTTATTTTTTTTTATACTTAGATTCTTGTACTAATTTTTATTATACACTGTTTAGTTAACTATAATGATATAAAAGAAATATATATATTTAAGGTGGAACATAAAATTGTACTAGATAAAAAAGAAATTATAATGGTTTTAAAAATAAATTTTGTAAATTATTATACTTCTAGTTTAGGTTTAGGGTTAAAAATTAAAAATAAATATATTTATAAAAAAATAAAATTTAATATTACATAATTTTTTATAATTTATATTTATATTCATATATACCGGGTAAAAGTAAATAAGTATAAATAATACAATATTTGTAGCTATATTCATGCAATTTTATTGATATTTACCCAGTTAACCCAAATGCTTTTTTTTTTAATCAACTGTGTGGACCATGCCATTATCATCAAAGAAGAGGTGGCAAGCCATAGACTAATGCAACAATTTGAAGTTGTTCTTGGTATAACTGCATGCCTATGCTAATTTTCTGTGACAAAAAAAGCGTGGTAGACAGGCTGTTTCAGCTCTAAAGTGAAGTTTCCCACAATTTGGACTCTTGTGGTCACTATTTTGTAGAAATATTGCATGGGGCGTGGTCTTGCTATTTACGTGTCAAAATTTTACAATTAAAAAAAAAATTATGTGAGACAAATCAACCCCCATAACTTGTTAAATCAAGCCAACTGATACAAATCAAGTTTAACTCTTGTTTTATAATATGGTTTTTATTTACTATATATTTACATTTAGACCCAATGAATGGTTAGAGACAATGTTAGATAGATCCATTATGAGGATCAACTCAAGTAATTTGAGATTAGACAAAAAAAAGAAAAAGTAAATTAAGATGATTATTTTGACAACTCAATACAGACTTGTTTTTCTTTATTGGTAGATTTGGTGGCTGCTGCTGGAGATCGGTATTGCCGGCATGCAAGTCTCAACAAAAAGAGAATTAAACAAAATTTTATTTTGTTTTTAAATATATTTTTAAAATAAAATTTGCTAAATGAATTTTTCATAAAAATAATTTCTAACGAGATACCATAGTTCGCCCCGTTACCTTAGTTCAAAACGATACCGTTGTAAGAGAATATTCTATATTCTTCTTTTTTCCAATTAATTTTGATTTATTAGAGGGTTCAAATCTCGAAATCGCATCGTGTCCGTGACCGTGACCACAATCCTCCTTCCAAACTTGAACTTCCCTCTGCTTCGAATGGTATCTTACGATCGAAGGGTTTGTGAGGGTTTAAGATAAACTTAACCTAAACCCTAATTTTCCCAATTCCTTCTCTCGATCTTCCACTCACTCTCCATATAACCGAAATTGCGAACCTATTCTCTCTCACCGCATGCACTCAGATCCAATCAGGACCTTCCCATTACCGGTAAGCATTTTTTCCCTCACAGTTTTTAATTTCCATTTCTGAATCTTCATGCTTAATTCCCCTCCCTGTCTTGACATCCTATGGTGGAGTTAGGGTTTTTGCTTAGTTAATATGTTAGTAGGAGACGTGACAATTGCGATCTTTGCATTGAACTGAAGTTCCATGTAATCTGAAACTCGGTTTTTTATTACAATTTTCAACGTTGTTAGGTCTGGTAGAGTTGAGTTTTGGGATAATGAATAATAGTGTGTTGGCGAATGTATTTTGGGTTTTCAAGTGATATGAAGTGCTGAATATGAGCAATGGCGGTGGGAAGACTGGAAGACAGCTTGAACAGCCTACCACATGGAGGAGGAGGAAAGTGGGTGGCAGTGATGACTTTGCCCAAGCAATTGCGAAGATTGCGGTAGCGCAAGTATGCGAGAGGGAGGGTTTTCAGGCGTTTCAGCAGTCTGCTCTTGAGACGTTATCGGACGTTGTGGCTCGGTATATTTTGAACATTGGGAAATCTGCAAATTACCATGCCAATCTTGCGGGTAGAACTGAATGCAATGCTTTTGATGTCATTCAAGGGTTGGAAGATATGGGATCAGGGCAGGGGTTTGTGGGTGCTTCTGATGTTGATCATTGCCTTGGAAGTTCAGGCCTTATTCGTGAAATTGTTCACTTTCTTAATAAGGCTGAACCAATTATGTTTGCACACCCTATTCCTCGGTTTCCTGTTGTGAAAGAACGAGTGCTGAATCCAAGTTTTCTGCAAAGAGGAGAAGAGCCTCCAGGGGAGCATATCCCTGCTTGGTTGCCAACGTTCCCTGATCTACAAACTTATGAACAGTCACCTACAGTGAATGGAAGGGGGACAGAACCCCGTGCTGCCAAATTTCAGCAAGAAAGAGAGAATGGCAAGGGGGAGCGACCTCTGTTGAATTTGCAGCAGCAGATGGTCTCAAATATGTTTGAAAAGACAACTGTGATTGACCCTGCTGATGCCAAGGCAAAAAGAGTAGCAGCAGAAAGTAATCCGTTCCTTGTGGCACCTTTGAAGATTGAGGACAAGGAAGTTGCTTCTGTTCCTCCTCCAGCTAAGCTTTTTAATGACATAGCTTCAGACAATCCTGTTGTGGAAAATTTTGTTGAAAATGAATCAATTTCAGTATTGGAGACATTTGCTCCTGCAATTGAAGCGATGAAAAGCTCATGCTGTGATTCCAAAGAAGATCAGACAAAGTTTCCTGTGAATGAGAAGCCTACTGTGCGTTTTAAGATTGGGACTAAAAATAAATTCTTAGGCAGGTCCATTGGTTTGATCCCACAAAAAGAGGAGCATAAAAAGACTTTGCCATGGTTTGCAATGGAAGATGAGAAGGATGACAGGAAAAGGAGGGCAGAGAAAATTCTAAGGGAATCTTTGGAAAACCCAGATCAGCTTGTTCAGTTGTAAATTAGATTGCTTTAATTAGAATCTGTATACTTGATCAGGAGAATGTCAGGATAGCTAGTTCTGGGATATTTCAAATCTAGGTAACTGTCTGGTTATGGGCATTATAGGTTGGATGCTACTATTTTGCTCAGATTTTCAGTTTTTAACAATCTTTCAGGTATGTGCATGTCAATTGCTTGGTAGATCAATTTATGATTCTTTTTATTGAAGTCCATTGGCACTCTGTATGATCTTCTGCTAAATTTAGCATACAAAAACATCTCTACTTCTGACTTGTGGTAGTTGCTTTGTATCGTGTGTTGAACTATTTTATATTACAGTCAATGCTACATCTACGACTAAATTCCCGCAGAAAATCAAGTATTATGTTAACTAACAATGAGAGAATGTTATTAAGTTAGTTAGTATAAACAAATAGTGTTCAAATATCATGGTTACATATTATGTTATTTAATTAGTGTTACTAAATGACCTCCTGCCGTGTCAAATCACATATTATATTTACTAACAATTAAAAGGATGTTACATAAGGTTAGTTAATAGTTGCTAATATTAATCCTTTGCTCATTTTCATTTTAGTATATCAACTAGTAGGTTCTGAGCTTCATGCCAAAAATTTACAGAGAGAAGTGAACTATTTATTTTAGTTATAATTTTTTTGTTTTCCATTATTTTGTTTACTAAGGACTTCAATTTTTGTGTTTTCCACATTGCATGTTACTATTTGTTCTCACTTTAATAATCTTTTAGGCATGTGCATGCCAATTGCTTGGTTGATCAATTTATGAAAAGATATTAGATGAAATTATTAAAAGAAACTTTTGATTAGCCAGATTTTTGAAAAATTAGTTTTTGACTGAACTTAATGACATTGTGTGATTCATGTAGCCAATCTCACCTGATGGAATAAGGCTTGATTGTTGTTGTTGTTGGCACTTTGTATGATCTTATGCTAAATATAATATATAAAAACATCTCTGCTTCTGACTTGTGGTTGTCCAGTTGCTTTGAATTGTGTGCTGAACCCTTTTACATTATAGTCACTGCTACATCTTCAACTAAATTCCCATAGAAAATACATTCCTTTCCAATCACACATATTAACTAATGATGGAGCGAAGGTTACATTAAGTTAGTAAATAGTTACTTATAATAATCATCTGGACAATTCATTGTAAAACTCTTTTTGTTTAAACAAGTAATTTCAAAACTTTATGCCCTACAGTATAGAGACAACCACTTATTTTAGTTATAATTCCATATTAGCTTCAATTGTTATGATTTTGGATATCCACTTTTCTACTGGTAAAAAGAAATTAATGATTTTGCACTGCCATTTTATCTTCAGTTTTCATATTTTAATCTCCATTTCATCCTTATTTTCCTCTTTTTCAATCAATGCTCATCGGCAGTGAATGCGACCATAAAATAATAGATGGATGTGAAAATAGTGTATGAGTAATGAAGGTATTCAAGAGAAAGTTAAAGTAGACTCTCTTGAGGAGAGTATGACATGAATTTTCCTTTTGGTTTAGTGTCAGTCATGTGAGAAGGAGATCGAGAAAGGTTTTTCAGTGAAAAAAATGGAAGATAGTTTAATTAAAATGGTACCAGAAGACCAAATAAAAACTTAGAAGAAATCATTAAAAATGACTTTCATCATATTGATTTAATTGAAATTTGGACAAGGCTTTTGTTGGTTTTTCATTCACGTTGCTAACTTCATCTAATGTATTTTATCGAATTCCCCATGATAAAGTGAGATTGTCATTATAGTTGTGGTTTTGTGTTTATCTTTTTGTTTTGCTAGTGATTATCAGTTAAGATACGTGTTGACCTTGCAAGGGCTTTTAAATATTTTGGTGTTCTGGTGTTATACTGATTAAATTGTAGAACTTACTCATTGCAATTGTATTGGTGCCTTCAACGGCTGCTTCAGCTTATGCGCCTGAGAACTTGATTGTATAAATATTGATATTTTTTTGCAACATCAATACCAATACCTTGCAAGGACTTTTTCCATTTAATGTTTCGCAAGCTTCAATTGTGATCCCTTTCCCTGGCCTTTGTGCTTTTGCATTTTGTTTTGTTTTTCATTAATACAGAGAAATCAATTGCAGTCGTTCAGTGTGTTATATGCCCTTCTCTTGCCTCTACAAAATTATTGATTAAAATATCATTTTATGTATCTAATAGACATGAAATGAATACTCAGTCCCAATCCTTTGACTAAGACGTGAATTCAGCTGGATGACAAATTCTGAATTGGACCAATTTGTCGTCTATGAAGTGTAGAGCTAGTAAACACAAATCCAATTGAAACATTTGTTCGTACTAAGCCTCCTCTGTTTTACCCCAGCATCATTTTGAACAATGGGAGTTGTCCACATGTAGGATCTGATCTTTTCGCTCTTCGTGTTTGCAACATTGTAGAGTCAGGCATGAACATCCCCTCCCCCTTCTTCCCCCAGGTTTCTTTCCACCTCTTCGCATCCTTCAATCTCATACAAAACATTAGAAGGGTCGAAAAAGAGCGGTTGGGGGGTTTTCTTTTTTTAAAGGAAGATTTGCAGTGTCCTATGAAGTATGAACCCAAATGTATTAGTGGAGTGAGGGCAATATTATGTGCAAAGGGCGTTCCAGGATGTCTAATTTATACAGGTTATTTATTATTATTATTATTTTGGGAAAGTTTTTTTATGGAATTGAAAAAAGCGTTGTCATGGTCAAGTGATTGACGGGTTTCTGGAGACGCCACTTTTATGAATTCGAAGTGGTACATTTTAATCTGGAATTTGTGGGATGACCGTACTTCCTTCATATGGAATGCAATGCGTATGATCAAAATTCAAGTAATGCGGCCATTTTAGATTGGGTTATGTTGAAAGTCCTTATGATCAACATGATTTAACCCAGCAATGTTCATCATACCAAACTAAAAAACAAGTTTTTCGTAATCTACAATAAGAATCACAAGTTTCAATCGTGCAAAGTTTTTATTTTTCTTTACGGTCTTCTACATTTAATGCCGAAATGTCATTGATAATCTTTTCCATTTAGCACATTTACTGAAATATAATTTTATTAGAAATAAAGTCAACATAGAAGGGAAGAGTTGTTGCCTGTTTCGTAATGATCGATCAATCGATTATTAGCGATGGGAGAATTAAGTCTTGCATGATGGATATAATTTTGATTTTAAAAGAAACTAAAATATTAGTTTCTTCATTTGTCAAAGACAATTTTATTTTACCAATTAAGCTAAACTAAACCTTCTCAATTCAATTTGATTTAAGGAAAGAGAAAAAAAAAGGTTCGGTCCATAAACCAAAATATACAGAGGAAGTTTGACGGAGGAGGCGACACCATTCACTTGTTGCAATATTTTCAACAGCCTGAAAGTCGATACTGATGTATATTTATCTGTATTTCTTCATGTATTTATAACAATTGACTGTAAATACATGAAGAAAGACAATAAAAGTAAACATAGATGTGCAACAATTTATGCTAAACAAAGGTGAAACTGCCAATTACGAAACTTATTACCCCTTTCAAACTAAATTTATAGCTAGATTAGAAAGGTAAAATAAGAAGAATGAATTTTCTTTTTTCGCCTCAAAGTGCTTAGCCAAAATTCCTACTTGGTAAACAGCAGTTGCCTGTAATGCATGCCAGGATCCTTTGCTACTTCACCTCTCACAACTTCAGTTACCAAATCTTTAAAGATCAATCGTTCAACATCCAACACAATATTTGGCATCTCACTGCAACATTTAGTCCAATTTGTGTGATGATGCTTCAAATTCTCATCCTCATCAACTAGGCTGACATTGCATTTTCGAGGTTGCAATTGATCTATTTCTGTGCATAGCTTATCCAAAAGCTGCTGCCCTTTTAGTTTTCTACCTGCTAGCTCATTTGATTGGCACCACAGTATGGAAGAACTATCCAACATCAGTTTTTGAACTAAAATGTCATTAACAACATCAAATATGAGTTTTCTTTGCATTCGCTTAGGATTAATAATCCTGGAAATCTTCTTGGCACTATCTTCAATATTGAAATGCCTCTTCTTTGTCTTCATTTGTTCAAGTGCAAAGAACAACTTTGGATTAATCAAGTGACCCGGCGAATGAAATATCTGGCTCGAGCTGTGACCACTTAGTAGACCTGATGCTAACAGTATTTCTGATATATACTTATGGTCAGGATCCTTACTGTTATTCAAATTGATGAATTTTTCGTCATTCTGATCAATTTCTTTAAGTATTTCCACTGAATTCTCTTCACTATCATCATCAGTGCTTAGAGCTTCACCTGTAGCAGAAAATTTGAAGAAAACTCAAAATTCTTTCCTGTATTATCTTTATATTGCCACTAAAATGTATATTGACTGCAGCATTCATTTGATAAATGAATTTAGATTATCCACATTTCAGTCTCTGTTTCTTACCTATTTTTTTTGAGATGTCTGATTTCCTTTTCACTGGAGATGGTGGGTCTTCCCTGTAGAATGCAGCATCAAGAACAGACACAGGACTTGGTTGTTCTACAGTAACTACTGTCTCAGCCTTGGAGTGTTCCTTTCTCAACTCTTCAAATGCATACTGATCAACACAAGATTGTTTAACCAACTGATGTAGATAAAAAATCTTATTATGTAAGGAAAAATACTTCCCAAATTCAACAAATACTTACATTTTGATCCATTCCACTCAACTGGATAGGGGTGTTGAAATTTCCTGATTGATCAATGCAAATGACTTCAATCTCACTACTAGTGGCCAAGCTTCTTTGTTTGTCAAAATCTGGGGAAATGACATTAACATGATGCTTGAAATCCCTCCAGTGACAGTTGATCTCACTGAAACGTTCATTTCTTTGCTGCAAAGCGGAAAACTTATGTGTGGGTGTTGTACTTGGGGAAGAAAACTCCACAAGTTGCTTATTGTGGTCTCTTCTGTTAATGCTGGAATCTGATAATGGACTGTTTGGCGGAGAACGCCTCTCCAAACCAAACTTCTTTTGTAGTCTTGGACTCCCAGTTACTGTTATATTGCCAGAGTTGATGGTGTTCTCTCCAACGCTGTCTGGAGGAACCTTTGATGATTGCATCAACTTTGTAACTTTCGTGTCTGATGAACAAACCAGTTGACCAAGAGGATCTTTGATCTTTTTTGTTGTTGAATTGATACCTTTAGCAGTTTGCTTGTCAACCAATCTTCCATTTGTGGGATTACTTGGGGAACACTTGCTGAGACCAGATTTACAATGAGTTGACAATTGTGTAGAAGAAGGATTGTTAGCTTTTCTAGTAGCTTTTGCTGGTTTCATGATGACAATTGGCAATTTACTTCCCTGGGTTGAATTAGACATCTCAACTGTGCCAGATGCCTGGCCATTTGGTGGTACTCTCGGGGTTTGTACTTTCAAGCTTTCTTGGGGACAAGTAATATTCCTATTGTCAGATGGAGAACTCGAAGCGTTATCTCTTGAGACCTCGAATGAACTCTTATGTCTCTGCATTGCTTCAAGAATCTGTTTAAGGGCTCTGAGATCCTTTCCAGACTTTTTGAACTCAAGTTCTGCCACCCTTTTCTCAATTTCGCCATATACAGTCAGAGAGGACTTTGGGGCTTTTGTATCAGATTCTTCTCCTTTGGAGGCACGTAGTTGAGAGCCTTGGCTTGCATCAGGTTGCCTCCATGGAGTTGATTCTAGGGCAAATCGCGAACGTGGTGTCACATTTGTGATTGAATCAACCCTTCTAAACTGATGTAAGGCAAGTTTTTGGTGTTGCTTATCATCCTCACTTGTGATAGATATAGCCAAGAGCTCATGTTTTCTGCTAGAGCAACTAGAATTCCTCACTGGAGTCCCAGAAGTTTGTATCCAGTCTGGTAGGCTTTCAAGTCCCATCAACTTAGCTACAACACTGGAAGATCTTCTAGATGTTTCTGGTTCTTGCAGCTGATTGGGCATTGTGCTTGAATTCCTCTCATACCCTTTCTGTGGACCTTTCAACAGGTTGCGAGATTTGTTTCCTTCATTGAAACCTCTATTGGATCCTTCTCTGCTGTCCAAGGAAAGCCTTGGGAATTCCTTATGCTTTGTGACAGATTTGAGTGAATCATCATAAGAGAGTCGCGGTGAATCCCAAGGTGTTTTCTTGGACTTTGCGAGAGTATGGAATGGTTCACTTGCAACTGTGACTCCTGCATTGATAGATTTATGAGACCGCAAAGGCCGGGGTGAGTCCATGTGTTTCAAAGCATGACTCTGACCCTTCTTTCCCTCTTTAGCCACGGTTTTCACAGATAATCCTTGAGCTTCTCTATGCATCGAGTCTTTGACAATATCATAGAAGTCAAGGGCTTGTTGAACTGGAGTGTAAAGTTGCTTTGTTGATACATCTGAATTTGTGTTCTCTGGAATTCTGATTCGATTTGTTGATGATGATTCTGTCTGAATTGTTCTGTTAAACTCAAGTGATGACATGCTAGATGAACAAGATGATGAAGACAAAGAAGTTATTGACGACTCTGTGGAGAATTGTTGCTTCTCTTTTGCAATCTTTAAATTCTTTGCCTGCATTTACACTCATAAGTTCTTAGCTAATTTTGCTAAAATTTTCTGGAGTAAATCTACTGTTATCTCACCTTAGCTTTCTGGGTTGTACTATTGAGCTCTTTGATGTCATTACTGTTTCCCCCTGTGAAAGGAGGGAAATTTTAGTTAGAAGCAATATAGAATATTTTCTCAATTGTTATCTTCAAATCTCAGTTCATTTTTCTTAATCCTTTTACAAATATCCGTTGGCAATTTGGCATGCTCACAAGTTGAAGCTCCATAAAAGAGCAAAGAAATCAATTCATGTGTGTAATCCAAATTAATTTATATATGTACCTCAATGATATTCAAGAGTTAAAAATTATTTCATCAAAATTAATTTTACTTAACTTTAAAAGGTAATATTAGAACACACTGCGTTATCAGTTGAAATTTATTAAAAATAAAAAAGTATAGACAAGAATCGTTAAATTAAGTGAGATTTATGTATTTTTAATACATTATAATTAATAATAAAAATTACATTTTAAAAGTATACTAGAGAGTATATTACTAATATTTTCTTAAACATATTAGAAAAAGACAACATGAGAAAAATAAAATAGAACGTTGGGATAGATGTGTAAACGTAATAGAAAGGGCAAAACAAGAACGATCGTATAGCAAAAAATATTACCGAAGGCATGGTGAGACCCGGTCAGGTAATTTTTTAAGAAAATTATTAAAAAATTCTTGATGAATAATATTTGTGAGAATTTAAATTTCTATTTAACCTAATATCATCGTATCACTCATGTAGTGACTTCACAAGTGGCGCAAGTTTATTGTTATTGTATTTCAAAAAGTATCCCTTAATTTTTAATATAACAAATATTTTATTTTTTGAGAAAAAAAATTTTTGGTTTGCTTAACCAGTAAATTTAGCATATGCTTTTAATTTTTATTACGCATGTCAATCAAGTTTTCTGAATCAATCATGCTTATCCGAAATATACCAAAGAAAAGAAATTGAAACTACAACAAAACTAAAGGCAGTACTAACAAGTAACAACATTAGTATCACATTCAAAATGCAGAACAAAGTATATTACAGAATACCTGAAGGAGTTGTGTGTTGGATGAGGAAACGGTGACGCTCAAAGAGCTGAAAAAATCCAGCAATGCACCCAATCTGCTTCTGCAAATCTCCCTTTTCATTCTTCAAAGATTTCAAACCCTTTTCAGACATTTTTGCTTCCCTTCAAGCTTTCAACTATGCAGAGTCCACAAGGCTTCTCTTAAGCAACAACCACCATGTCTCTATTGAATGAAGAACAAAGAGATCTTCTGTTTTTGGGATTCAAGAATTTGAATTGTTAATGTGACTCAGAACAAGAACAGGTCTTCAGAATTGCAACTTTTAATACATGGTAGTATTTGTAACAATGCATTGACAAAAACTTTGCATTTATGTGGTGGAATGTGAAGACTTGGTCGTGCAAAATTCATTTGGAGTTGATTTTGTGTGATATATGTGTATGCATGTGAACAGAAGAGAATGTCCTTGGACAGAATCAAAGAGAGAAGAAATAGATGAAATGGAGACAATATTATCCACTGCAGAAGCAGAAGGAACAAAAGAGAAGTGAAAACAAAGCAATTCCAAAGTGCTACCACTGGCATACACCTATTGACAATTAGCAATGCATAAACAAACTGGAGAAAAATTTGAGAGACCCAAGAAGAGATGTTTTCTTAATTTTCTCTGGGTTTGCCCACAGAACAAAAAAGGATTAGTTTTGATTCTTTGTGATGGAGATGCAGGTGCAGAGGCCAGAGTGTTTTAATTATATATGAGAATGCAAAAGTTGAAAAACAGGTTGCTTAGAATATAGTATAAGTAGTGACAACCTTTTAATTACATTACGTAAGAGAGAGGGAAAAATGGGTGGAATTTGGGGTGTCAAAATCTGAGTGTCGCAGAGAGAGAGAGAGAAAGAGAGAGTTGTTAAAAGTTAAATCCTTAATAAAGAAACAAAGGAAGGAAGGGTAAGTGGAAGTGGGATAGGCGTGTGTGGGTCAGATTACTCAGGTCTGGTCTATGGTCATATCCTACCACTTCCATGTGGACAAAACATCGTGGTGGGTCTGTGGTTTGGACCTCTTTGCATGAGCATGTGGAGTTTGTCAGAGAGAAAAAAGGGTTGCAAGCGAGGAAGTGGATTTTGTACCAAAAGAAAAAGAAATTTGAAGAAATAAAGTGAATGGAGATATTCAGTGAAAGCCTGCAGGATCTAAAGTGCTTGTTCAACCATTCCCATACATATCCTACTTTTCACCAATTTGCCCTTCGTGGGTTCTCAGCTTTTTCTCCATACTTGGCACCTGCCCTCAAAATGGAACAGATGTGATATTTGTTCATTTTGCTAATGAAATGTCATAGAGCATCGCATACTTTAGATAGTGAAGTATTTATGACATGATCACGAATGTTGCGTACATTTACCTTAGTGTTGGGGAATTGCATTTGCACTGCACCGTGGCATAAATATGTCTACATTGAATTCTCTGAAGAGAAAAGCATTTGTAGTGCACAGTCATAAATGTGTATATTGAATTCTCTGAAGAGAAAAACTGGCTATACTTAAAAAGTTTCATAAAACAATAGTCACGTATTTAATCTCACACAAACATTGTAAAAGTAGGAAATGAAGAACATTTTAAGATGGATTATTAATCACTGTTGCATTTATTGACCTAGAAGGTAGCATAACTGGTCACTCCCACTGCAATATGGTTGGTTGTGTGTTGTTTAGGTGGTACATTTCAGCATAAGTGTGGTCCAGTGTGTGTAGTCAGAAATATCATTCAAGGCCAAGAAGTTGCAAACTCTTGGACCATTGGCATTTCCAAAATAATGAATTGGAGCTTATGATAAAATCTTGAAGGAGTCCTTTTGGAAACTGTGTATCATTTCCGCCGCAAAATTTTGGTCCCTTGCTGCCACATTGCAGATAGTACCACGTTAGTGCATCATCACTGTCATTGGTGCTGCATGAGTTAGATTTTACTTCTGTCTGCATATTTTCTTTGATGAAGCGATCGAAAAGCTGCATGTTGGCCAAGCTGCTATTAGAATTAAAGAGGAAAATGAAGTAGAGACGGTAGATTACGTGTTTGGAATATCCATAAAATCATATTAAATCACATTGTAACATGAAAATTATAATATATAATGTCGAAATAAATAAAGAAGATGAGTGTGTAAGACAAATATTTTTGGCAAGTGCTTAAATAATTAATTACTTGAAGAAGTGAATTGGAAGGGAGTTTTTTTTATTCCCCATGCTGCTGATTCAAATTTTATTAATTTCTAGTGAAACCAGGAAAAAAATAGGTGTATAGCTAAAATAATTTAGCCCTTTACTAAGATGCATTACAACGTTATCAAGGAAATGTTAACGTGTGATAATCCATTATGAAGATCTAAATCTGGGAAATGCCATCCTTTAGTTTCCAAACTTGATTAGAAATCAAATGTGACGTCTTTTCTTCACTCTACTTAAAATAAAATCTTGCATTAAATGCCTGATATACCTAACCTAAAATAAATATAGATTAAATCAACCATAATTATTTTTGTTCCATATAGGATAGAACATTAGGATGAATGCTATATCCCATATTTAATCTAGGATGGAGCTTCATAAAGTGTCTGCAAGAAAATATATATAAATTGGTATTTATAATGGATTGGTATATACTATATTTGAATATATAATGTACGTAACAACATCTATTTAGACCATATAGCCTCCTTTCACATGCATTTAAGAAAATATAAGGTATACGTGTGCTATATACCTTTTACTAATAATAAGAAATCCATATCTACCTCCCTCGCGCACATATGTACAATAACCTTCAGTGATGTTAATTATAAATACACCAGAAATTCTCAGATATTGTGTTATCCCTTTCATATTATTAATCAGACCAAAGATAATAATTGCAATGATCATATTTATTGGATTAAGCATGTTAATATATATGTAGCCAGAAATTGGAGTCCTATATATAAAACGCTGGGTGGTAGGTGATAAATTTAAGGGTTGGATTTTGATAGAATAAGAAACTCAATTAAATGTTTTAAATGAAAGTTTAATTATATTAAAATTTTGATTATAGAATTTGTTATGATAAATTAAAATATTAAAAAATATTTAAAAAATATTTCTCAAACGCCTCATAAACATTAATAGTCGAGCGAAGCTCAGCTGAAGCGCCATGAGTGTATTTTTTCTATTTGAGGTGAAATTTGCTTCCGGTCTCCAAATTCTGTCCATAAACTAAAACTGTTGCCAAAATTTTCGTCTGACGTATGTAATACTAAATTTGACTCACAATTAGTCATAATAGAGTTACATATCGCTCGTTTAATTAAGATTATTAGCAGTTAAAATTACCTAATTAACCAATGATCTATATGTTATAGGTTTTGGACCAAGCAAATTAATGTGTAGGGTAACTAAGCTAAGTTCTGTACACCTGAGTGGTCTTCATGAAAGCATATATTATATGTCCAAGAATGGTATTGTCCTCTAAATTATAAATGCTACTATAATTAATTTTAGTATCGACCTTTGTTTATTAGATTTATAAATTAAAGATGAGAGAGAAAACGTAGTTTTCTTTGAGAAGTTTGACACACTGTGTCTTCCAGAAACGGCAATTTATATAGTCGTAATTTTGCACATATATAAATGACGTATGAAGACATTAAATATTTTTTCAACGTGTATTTTAAAAATTATTATTATTATTATTATTATTATTATTATTATTATGTGTGTGTGACAATAAAAAAAAGTGTAAAAATAAAAGGAGGACAAGTTCAAACAATAAAAAAAAATTAAGATAAAAGTCTAAAATTTGAAGGACAAGTTTATATTAAAAAATAAGAGTTAAAATGTAACTCACACTACGTTAAAGATAGCTAGATTAAGAGAGTCTTAGAAAAAAAAAACCAAAATTCAACCAATTTTATTTAATTTGAATGTTGGATTATTCATAAATGTCTAATCTTGAGTATTTTAATATAACTTTTTATTATGTCACTCAGTACGAAGTTGGAGTTCTTAAAATATGTTATATTGAA